CACAATATAGTCGGCCCTGTCTGTTGTCTCTCATTAGTTTGCCTCACGGACGGCGGCATGCATGTGCATACATAGGATGGATTCTCGTAGAAGCAGGTGGATAGATGGAAATAAAGGAAGTTGAGCCGTGGGCAACGCGCACTCACCAAGAGGGAAGGAGAAGTGTTTGTTATTGTATGGAAAAGAAAACGGGCGGCAAAAATGCGAGGCGGCGCACAAGCGGCGCACAAGGAAGAGACCCCTGGTGGGACGCTTTGTTGGAAGATGGATGAATGAATGAATGAATGAATGAATGAATGCATGATGGGGATCGGATGGAGGCCCAGGCAAACTTCACTGATGAGTGGGGTTGTGCAGAAAGAACTCTTGGGGGGACTATAACTTTGTACCGCCTTTGTGTGACGATACGATACGAATAATTCATCATGATACATATGCACAGGTAGACAGAGGTGAACGACAGTATCTCGCGGTTTTTAATCCAGGATTGAGAAGGGTGAAGTGCCTCTAAAAGATGGCATCGCCCTTTGCCATTCATCACCAAGCCACACAAAACATCACCAACACCGTATAGTTATACTCTTCCATAGAATGTGTGTAATCGCTAACAGCAAATAATACAACGATACTCCTACCGATACTCCGTCGTCCAAAGCAAAAAAAAAAAAAACCTCATTTGCTCCGGGAAGACAGTAAATCTCGTGTGTTTTTTCCGAGCAACCCATGCCCAAAATGTCCATTCATCCAAGCATGATATTAGAATGATACAGCCCACCAACAAACAGCAGCACGCACCATCAACACCCCGACCGCGTGCCTCTCTATCTCGCTCCCTGCGGCGACGGGCTCTTCCTCACCTCCTCGTACTCGAGCTGCCACTTGTCCACCTCGCTAAACTTTTTCGTCGCGCGCCTCAGCTCCTCGACGGCTTGGAAGTCCGGGGGACCCGCCGCCTCCGTCGTGTCCCCGAACGTGTCGTCCGCGACCGGCTGGAACTGGCTGTCGCTCTCCTCCTCACCGTCCCCCTCCCCCTCGCCGTTGTCGTTTTCCTTATCCGACCACCGACGCCCGTAGGTCTTGTGCTTGGACGCGCTGCGAGTGGCGCGCTGGTTGCTGCTGCGCCCCGACGCCGACGGCCCTCTGCTCGGCGGGCGGCTGACTCGACCACCGCGCGTGCGCGTCACCGGCACCTCCTCCACCACCTCCTCCTCTTCCTCCTCCTCCTCGTCGCTGCCGTCGCCTTCCTCGCGCGTCTTCTTGTATCTTCTCTTCGGCAGCAGGTTGGCCAGGTCCGCCGTCGTCAGGGGCTTTGGCTGCGGTACCGTGGAGCGTCCGCGGCCGCCCGCCCGGCCCGAATAGTTGGGAGAGTGCGTCAACGACGGCGGCGAGGAAATGTCCGACAGGATGTCGTCGTCGTCATTGGCGCCAGCCCGCAGTGGCGTCATGAATGAGGGACGGCGACGGCGCTTCGCGAGCGCGTGGATGTCGGGCCAGGCGCCGCCCTCGTCCTCGGACCCGCTGCTGGCCGGCGGCGCGTTGATCTCGTCCATGTTGACCGGCGTCATCGCCCGCTGCCGGACGGGCGTCGACGGCGGCATGTGCGGCGACGCCAGCTCGGACAGATCCGAGTCGCTGCTGTCCGACTCCTCCGTCCTCGTCGTCTTGGTGACGCGCTCCTCCTCCTCGGCCGCCTCCACCTCGCTCTTGCGCTTCCTCGTCGTGCGTGCCGTGGTCGCGCTCGCCTGTGCCGAGACATCTCTTCTGTTGCTGCTGGTGCTGGTCACGGCAGCGTTGGACGCCAGGCTAGCCCGCGTGCGGCGTCTCGTGTGCAGTGGCGTCGACTCCGCATCTGGAGCAAAGTTCTCCTCGCCGTCGCTCTCCAGGTCCGACTGCGCGCCGCGGCCCGACGTCTCCGAGCGAGGCCCAGTCCCTGCCCCCCTGGCACCGAGGATGCTGGGTTCACGCGCGCGCCTGCGGAACGCGCCAATATTGAACGACGACGTCAGTGCCGAGGTGTTGTGCGCGCCGGCGCCGCCACGGCTGCTGGGACGGATCGGACCGTCCGTGCGGCCCACCACGCTCGACTGTCGCGAGCGCGGCTTGAAGGTGCTCCACGAGCGCGTCGTCGACGCCGAGCGCGGCTCCCGCTCCAGGTCGGGCACCTCGCCGTCGGCGAAGCTGTCGCCCAGGTCACCAAAGATGCTGTCGTCGGCGAGGTCCAGCCCGGTCGTGTCGCGGCGCGCCGCGGACGGTGTCTCGAGAGCGCGCCGGCCGATCTCGACCGAGTCGACACTCGTGTGGCGGGCGGGCGCGGGCGCGGGCTCGACGGATTCTGGTTGTTTAGGAACAGCGGCGCGGGTGGTTCGTGTGCGGCCACGAGTGGTGGATGGTTGCTGTTGTTGCGTCTGCTGCTGTTCAGAGTCGTCGTCGGCGGGCACGCCGGCTGGAGCAGTGTCGGCAGCTTGACGCGTTCTCCGCGTGCGAGCCATCGTAAAAGTGGCTATTTCTTATGCCAATTACTGTAGTTGCGACTTGAATTGGGGTTTCAAAGCAAACGATGGCGTTGGTGAGCAGTAAGCGTCATGTGCAATTTGATGTTGTGAGGGTGAATTGTGGTGAGGTTATTGGGCGTTTGACGATGCAGGCGCGTCGCGACGCGTGTGGGGAAATACAGAACGGACCCACTAAAAAGTTGGCCAGCCCAGACTTGGACGGATGAAAAGTCCCCAATTCACGACATACTAAAACATTGGAATAAATCTGAGTTGCTTTTGTATAAGTTGTAGATGAAAATTGCTAAATATTTCGGATATATGAGATGAAAGCTCGTTTCCAAACGCCACCAATGCTAACCCTTTCCATACTTTACATGTCTAGTATACAATCCTGTTATATCATACAAGGGCCGCTTATATTAAAGCCTGGCCCATAAACATGCTCTTTTTTACATCAGCGACGATATCGCGACGATCATCGTTGCCCACGAGGACAATGCCGCGCCCGCGGCGCCCCATGCGCCCAGCGCGGCCTAGACGGTGGATAAAGTCAATTGTAGTATGCGGCACATCATAGAGGATGACGTGACGCACAGCAACAGTGTCGATGCCTCGAGAAGCCAAATCCGTGACGACCAAGACTTTGATGCTTGAGAGCCAACCACGAGCAACCTGGCGATCCGGCCGGGCGACGCGGAGAGGGTCGGCCTTGGTGAACACCTCAAGAATCTCGCCGTGTCGCTTCTCCGGCGTGTCGCGGTGCAGGGCCTGGGCGTCAATGCCCTTAGAGCGGAGGTAATCAGCCAGTTCCTCTGTCTTTTCGCGCTCGTTGACAAAGACCATGATGCGGCGCACGTCAACCTCGTCCTTGGCGGGACCCTCATGTTGGGCGGACTCGCGACCGATGCTGAAGATGGCTTCGGCGCAGGCGAGGTCCTTGTTGTTCCTGTACGGATCGCGGGATACGTCGATGACGCCGAGCTGTACGCGACGGGGGATGGCGTGCAGGTTGGGTGTGACGATGCGCTTCATGTCGGGGTAGTTGACGGCGAGGTAGTTGTTGAGCTTCCTGGGGATGGTGGCGGAGCAGCAGATCAGTTGCTTGAGGGACGGAGTGGCGCGCTCGACGATGCTCATGGTGACGGGGGCGAAGCTCCGGTCGAAGAGGGAGTCGGCCTCGTCGATGATGAGGTGGGAGACGCGGGAGAGGATGTTGGGGTCGGAGTCGGCCATGGCGGCGAGCAAGTGCGGCGTGGCGACGACGACGTCGAGGCCTCTGGGGGAGTACACGTTGCGCTGAATCTGCTGGGGCTTGAGATCCGAGGAGAGCATCTCTGTCTTGAACTTGACGGCGTGGGAGACGGACTTGGACACGCGCATGACCTGCTGACAAAGTTCCGCTGTAGGGACTAAGACGACGACCTTGGGCCGGGCCATGGTGGGATGCGGCTCGTCAAACGGTTTCCCCTTTCCATGCAACTCCTCCTGACGCTTCTTCTCGGCGGCAAAGCGTTCGTTGTAGGCTGCAATATCCGGGTCAATAGCTTCGGCCTGCTTGAGGGCGTTGATGGCGGGCAGCAGGTAAGCGAGGGTCTTGCCGGACCCGGTTTCGGCGGCGAGCAGAAACGACGGCACCTTGCCTGGCGCTATGCTCGTCGGGGCCTTTGCCTGCGTCTTCTCGGTGAAGCCGGTGGCGGACTGGCCGAGGAGCGCGGGAATTGCCAGGCGCTGGACGGGCGTGGGGCGGATGTCGGTCATGCCCTTGAAGAGCTCTTCGTCAATGGCGGTCTGGACCGAGGGCAGCAAGTCAAACTGCGAGAAGGACTCGTACTCGGCCATGCGACCCTTCATGCTCGTACGGCGGCCGTACGAGATGGAGGCAAGGGCGCGGTGCATCTTGAGGGCCTTGCGGTCATCGCCGTGCTTGCGGGTCGCGTCGCTGCGTTTGTCGGCAGAGGCCGGAGCGCGGGGCTGCCGTCGAGGGTCAATGTTGGCGACACGCTTGTTCATGGCCCCAAAGGGACCTGGGGCATGGCGCTTGCGTCTGGCATCGTTGGCGGAAGGGGGCGATCGATGGACGTTGTCGGACAGGACCATGCGCGAGGGGCGGGAGGTTTCGCGGCGAACGGAGGCGAATCGGGCGCCAATGCAAGGGCGGATGAGGGATTGCAGCGCCGGCCGCAGAGTGAGAGCGGTGCTGCCGGCCAAGAGGCTTGCGTTGAGTAGCGCAGGCTTCATTGTGCTGGCGCGGGGGAAGCGATGGCGTTGGGGGATGAGGTCGTGTCGTGTCCAGCAAGCAGGAGAACATTTTCACTTTTTTTTTAGTTAGCGGTGATTGCTGTTTCCAAAAATAGCGGGTACGTACCTTTCCACTGCTGCTCAAAGAGGAAATGGGTGAGTTTTTGGAGAAAAGCCGCGGGGTAGGGTTAATTTGGTGCCTGCAGGCTAATCGAGGTTGTGTTACGTGGCCGTTGATAACTAGGAATCAGTTTGTCTGGAACAAACAGGATGGGGGCGAGGCTTTTGGCTATTGTTGTGTATGCATTCGAGGCTCAATGCATCGATGACGCTACTGGTACGGACACTTGAAGGCATAAAGCCATAAAGCTGCACCTCTGAGTTTCGGTAGCTGGTGGGGAGCTCCACTGATACACACTGAAAGCTGGCTTCGGCGAATTCGCCGACAGCCAAGTTGGGCGGGATTTCCCATTCATTAAGAATTTAAAACAGAGAAAAAATGATGCTATTTTTTGGGGTTTTTCTTTTTCTATCTTCAGGGTCGACGGTAGGAGGCGGTATTCGCGGCTGTGCATCTTACGTCCATCCGTAAAGCCAATGCTGCAGGCTGCAATGCGCATGCTGCAGGCTGGCTGAGCTCGGTGTAATTGGGCAGCGAAGGAGGGGAGTCGAGGCCCACTACAGCGCACCCGAGGGGGCTTTGGGTGGCTGTCAGTGGTAAAAGGCGCTATAACTTATAGGGGAGGCGGCGCATTCACTTCTGGCGTGGGTGCAGTGGCTTGGCCTTTTTAGCCTTTTTCAGCGGCCTTAGTGTATCGGACAGCCGAGAGTTTAGCGTCTTCAGCTGTCTTTCCGGTGTCAACCACTGTCGAGCGCCGCCACAGGTGGTGGACGTGAATAAATGGCACACTTACAGTGGGTTGGGTGGCTGGATTTAGCGTCGCCTCCTCCCCCGCCTGCCCGCCCAATATCCCGAAGCTGGGCCAAAGTTGCAAAGCTGGGCGCCAATGCATGCCATGCTGTTGCACGTTTTCGCCTCTTATTCGCCTCATACCCTCGCCACGTACCATCTCGAGAGGGGTACGTACCCTGTGTACATCGAGGCCAGGCGAGGCAATGCATTGCAGGCAGCAAGTCACCTACAGTGTCCTTATTTCATCCTGTCCCCCACCTCCCATTTCGTCTGCATCGAATCGTCCGCAGCTCCAGCCTCCCCCGACTCGTCATTAATAAAAACCCCCGACGTTCCACGAACTGCTGCATGGCCTGTTTCTACGCCTTGCATCCCGTCCCGAGACCAACTCCAAGATAGGAACGCTACCAGCCGTTTGAGCGCCTTATTAGACTCTCGCAAACTTTGCCGTTTCATCCACCGGCCTGGTACCATCGCTCATCGCTCGAGCACCTCGATTTACTTTTTTTCCATTTCTTCCAGGCTCCCACTTCCCCGACCTTTCTTGTCTGTGCATCGGCTCCGGCACCATCTCCCGATTTGCCCTGCACGTGCCTGCCCTCCTCCCTCTCCGCCTGCTGCCCTCGCCTACTACCCTGCCACTGCAACAGCTCAATGTCTCTCAACTAATAAAGGCCTCACTTTTGTTTCTCATCGCCTGCTCCCCCAATTGCCATCCCAACTTCTCAATTCCATCCGCTACAACTCCCCTTTTCAGCACACCGGTCGTCCCTATCATCAGCCACTTGTAGCGCCGTCGCCCATATGCGTTGCGTTTACATGCTCGTCACACCACCGTCATAGCCGATAGGCGCTTTACTTCTTGACATCGCTCTTCCATCTCTTCAACAGAGTAGCGCAACTCTTTTCCAAACCTGTCCTGCGTCTCACAACGAACAATCCATCCATCCACTCCCCTCGTCATCGTCATGTCTCAACCACATACTATACCGCATACCATCACCTACACCCTACTCAACCACGACGGTCCGCTGTTCATAGCTGGGACCTTTTCGCAACCTGCCTGGCTTCTCCAAGAAATGGAACCGTCGACACCGGCCAGAAATTCTAACACCTATTCCATCTGTGTCATGGTCGAACCTGACAAGGAATATCAGTACAGATTCAGGCAAGGCCGAGATGGCTTGTGGGCTGTCGATGAGCGGGAGCCGATTGGTAAGTCTACGATAACCTTGGAGAAGAGCTAAAATTAAGTCGTTGTAGTCAAAAGCGTCTTGGGCACCAAGAGCAATATTCTCCGAGCAAAAGAGCCTGCCAAGGCCAGCAATGGCAACGCCAACACCAGCACCAACATCAACGAAAACGACGGCGCCAATGATACCGTGAGCTTCACTGTTCCACTCTTCGCTCATGAGCGACTCGGCGCCGCCTACACTCTGAGCGATGGTAGCCACCAAGCCCAGGACACGACTACCAGCGAGATGCAAAGGGAAATTTCACCCAGAACGATGAACAGTGCTCCCGTTGACCTCAACGACCCCACCCTGGAGCCCTTTCCCTGCGATAAGTCGTCGATCCTAGGCACCCTGCGCAAGATCCAGTCCAGCATGGGCGAACACGCTGTGGCTGTGGACATCCAGCAGCACTCGAACCGAAGGAGCAGCCTTGACTCGGATGATGGCTCCTCGGGCTCCGTGAGCCCGTCCTCTTTTCGACGCAGAGAAAATCGGTTGTCCAATGGCAGCAAACGTAACCTGTCCGTTGCGTCACTCGGCTCCATTGCTGAAGAGCCCAATGGGGGAATGCATAAACGCGAGCTGAGAAACATTGCTGAAGCATCCATCGGCGACGGCGGTGAAGCTCTCATGATGAGAACGCCTAAGCGACAATGACCACCGAACTGTGCCATAAATATCCGAACCGCGACCGGGTTGGCGTTTCTTCCTTTTTGTTTACTAAAAGCCAGCTTAGTTTATATCCCTTGAAATTTGAATCAATACAATTATTTATAATATAGACGGGAGCTTTTTGCGACGGATTCGGCCTACCCGGCCAGCAACCCCCACCAGCTGTGTCGTCGTCGTCGTCATCGTTGTTATCGTTGTTGTCGTTGTCATCATTGCACATATTTAGGTGAGACTACAGCAGAAACGCGCACAGAAATTATTCAAGGCGAAACCAAACAGTGTAAGAGAATACACTAAAAACGAGACCATCGAAACTCTCCAAAGTCGCTGATGACTTACATGTACAGCCAACGGCCAGCGGCCCCACATGTTCTGGCCTGGTAGCTTGCCGCCATATTAGAGTAGCATTTTCATTGGTGACGACCAACTTGTGGAAAGTCATCCGCGAACAATGCTTCTCTCGTACATCTCGTCTCTCACCACAGCACACTGAAGCCGGAGGCTATCCATCCAGGATACCGCATCCTTCTCCAGCAGTGAACCTGACCTGAACCTCGCCATGTCCCTGCCACCTAACGTCATCCGCGTTAAACGCAAGCGGGTGGAGGAATCCCCCGTCACCTTTCTTCGTATGGCACCCGTCCTCCTGCCGTGTGAAACCATTCAAGGAGGGTCCCATGGCTGACTTGATTTTTTTTTGTTTCTCCTACCTAGAAATCGACGAGGGTGTCAAGCGACATCGCAGTGACAGCAGCCACTGGGTTTACCAGCGACGAGGCTCGACAGCGCAGCCGCCGCCTAAATCATCACCGCTCCGCGCCGACTCGAAGCCCCAGATCCAACTCTCTACGATCCAAGACGATGAGCCCAAGCGCGGCAAGGGAGCCCCCTTGCCAATACAGGACACGGATAAGCTGACGCCCGCGACGGCGACGAGAGCAGCAGAACCACGCCGGTTCCGGGTTTCCAAGGCGATGCTGGCCGCGGCCGCAGCTGCTAATGGCGGAGCGGCAGGGTCGGTGTCCAAGAGAGACAGGTACGGCGCGCCGACGCTGTTTGTGGAGCGCGCGAGGCGCAAGAAGCTGGCGCCAAAGCCGCGGCGCAGCATGCTCGCCCTCAACGCCGAGGCTGCGGCCGCGGCGGCCGCGGCGGCCGCAAAGGATGTCGAGGCCAAGGACCTCAAGCGGCCGGGCGTAGCGAAGCGACCCCGCGACGTGAGCAAGACGACATCCGCTGCTGCATCGACGGAAGCGGAGGCGCCGCAGCAGCCCAAGGCGACGCCAACAGACGCCACCTCGAACCCCCTCCCGACGTCCCTAAGGAACCGCGCCGAGGAGGACATGAGCAAGATCACCGCGGACATGAACGAGTGGGTGATGCGGGAGATGGGCGCGACCCTGCGGAGCATAGAGGCGGAGCGGCAAAAAGAGGCGCGCCCCCCGGCGCCGTTGTCGCCGTCGCGGTTCAAGCCCAAGGCGCCGGCGAAGCGCTACCACGAGCGGCATCCCGACGCGGCGGCGGCGGCGGCGACGACAGACGTGGAAGGCGACACAAACATGACGGACGCGAGCGAGGACGAGGACGGCGACGAGGACGACTGGGTGATTGAGGAGTATGTCCGCATCCCGGCCAACTCGGTGGCGCTGGACGTGGCGCCGTCGTCGGACGTGGGCTTCCTGGTGCTGGACGGCGAGGAGGAGAGCCTGCTCTTCTTCGGGCCGCAAAACGATGAGGGCGAGGACTGGGACGAGGATGAGGAGGACGAGAACGGTACGTTATTCTCCCGGGCAGCCATGCCAAGTCGCGAGGAAGGGAGGGAACTAATAAATTTGATAGCCGAAAACCACTACACGGCGGATTATCCCGAGGACGAGGTCGACTCGGAGGACGAGCTCAACCGCAACGCGTACTACTTTCGCAACGCAAACGCGTCGGACGACGAGGAGTACGACCAGGACGCGTTTGATGATGAGGATGAGGATGTGTATGGAGCGAACGGCGGCGATGACGACGACGCGAGGATGACGAGGATCCTGGAGCAGATGAAGAGGCTCAGGGCATCGCAGGAGTGAAGGTAGGTGGTGTGCCATGTTGGAGGGTCAGACGTCGAAGGATGAATGAATCATGAACGACCTCGGGCCTAGTGGAACAGGCTTGCCTCGACACGCGAGAGGGTAATGCGATATTCCGGTAAACAAAAAGCGACTTTGCATATTCGATAGACCATGGGATATATAAAATAATTTGAATTCTATAGACATTTTGCACCTGAGCCGAAGCGCTGCCATGGACCACCTGTCCAGCCGCCCTTCAGTCGTCCTTCGAATTTGCCAGAGCCGTCTTGGGGATTTGGGGGGGGGGGCCGAACATGACCCCCATTCATCGCCCAAGGTCATCTCAGTTTACATGTAAATGATGGTTTGCCCCCCGTTGATGGAAAGTCCGCAGCGTCCTTTACTTGCAGACCTTGATGTTGGGGAACTCGCCCTGCTGCTTGCAGTGCTCGCCCTTGGGGCAGTCGGCGTCGGAGTGACACAGGCCGGCGACGGCGGAGGCCAGGGCGAGGGTCAGGAGGGCCGTGAACTGCATCGTTGATGACGTTTGTTTGTGTGTTTTTGTGAGACGGAGGGTTTTTTTTTTTGGTTTTTGTGTGGGATTTTCGTAAGATGGGGGGGGGGAGTCTGTCTGGCAGCTTGCAGGGTCCTTATAGTTTTTTTTTTCAGCCAGCCGGAATTTATTAGTCAAGCAGACAGACATGACCACCAAAATCTCACTGATCGTTGGGATTCATGCCAAAGGGGAAGCTGTAGCTCTGATCAACTGTTTCTTCGACGTCATGACGTCCAGGTGGGCAGGACGGCAAGCCACCGACTCTTCTGCCACAACTTGTGTTGATCCATGTTGCAACAGGCAGGTACCGCGATTTGCCGACCATACCAGTTCGTTCAACCAACCCCGCTCACATAATACTTTCTCCGAGTATTGAGAAACTAGCAGATAGCTTCGACCGAACAGCTTCTGCCCGCATGTCAGCGCTCCCCTACCTAGACCGCAAGGGGCAAGTGCCGTCAGCATGTTCTGCCCGCCGCCTCTCCCCAAATCGACGCCATGGACTTTATGGGAACTTCTGTTGACCGACATTCCGGATGCTACTTTTCTTCAGCCGGGGCGAGAACGGGTGGTGAAGAAACGCGGCGCTGTCTTGTTCTGTCCCATCAATGAGCATTAACCAACCCCACGGCGAGGCGGATCAGCTGGGGGGTTACATCGGGATGGGGCTTTGCTTTCATGAACGAACGGGTTCGAGGGCTTGGGCGAGGCGGAGGGTGGCCCGTCTACTCTTCGTGGCTTTTTGATATGCATGTCGTAGTTGTAGATACTGCTGATGGGGCGATGAGCGTTTTTCACCGTCCTATTCGTGGAGGAGGGCGTCTCGCGCATCCTGTCCTCAGCTCTAGGAATAGTTTAGAGTATGGAATACTTAACTGTAAATCCCATTCGGTACTCAAAAACTCTCTACATGTTCTTTCAAAGCAGCGGCACCGAGTCTCAGCGGAGGGATATGTAGAGTCCGACGTCACGCAGACACCGCACTGAGTAGCATTACACTTGCCAAATAAAATTTATAATAATTTGTGACGAATCTTGTAGCCCTTTTAAACCATTTAAATCTTGTACCTAGTAGCTTTCCATGTTTCCGGTCTCTATTTTCGATCCAGGTGGTAGTCCAACAATGTTTCCATACATAAAAGCTCAACAAAGTTCAAGCAGATATTCCCGATTCGAGCTTAGCAACTCCCTTCAAAGTAACCGTAGTTCAAGTCCAAGTATCCTTTTTTTTTTGATTCACTGTGAGGGTTCAAATGTTCATGCGGCAGGGCCTCAGAGACCACTCGGCGTGTCGTCTCTCGAATCGCCAACCTCGGGGGTTGGTGATCTTGTGTACGGATCCTCCGTCACCGCGGTTGCTGGCAGGGGCTTTTCGACGTCGGATAGCTCATGCGGTGAGCGGCGTCGTCGCTGCGACGACAGCCTCTCTTGGCTGGTATTCGCTGGCGCCGGCTGGACGTAGTGGATTACCCCATCTTCTTCGTAAGTTTGGAGCTTCGTCGTGGGCCTCTGTTTCTTCGCATCTCCGCCAGCGCGGCCCAGCTCCTCGGCGGCAAGCAGTTGCTGCTTGTGGTACTCGATCGGGACGACTCGGGTTCCCTAGCGAATATCGAATCGTATACCCGTGAGGGCCTGCAACTTCGCCAGGAAGCCTTGGCACCGCGTGCAGTGCCTCCGCGAGACATAGACCTCGAGGTGAGGCCGGTGACGGTGATCGTTGCTCCAACGGCACTTTCGCAGCTGGACGAGGTTCTCTCGCGCAAGGATGTCGTTGCCGCGTGGCCGTCCGGGTAGGCGCCGCAGGAGGAGCGTCACAGCATACGTCGCCAACTTGAGTTCAACGTGGGCCGCCTGGAAGCAGCCTGGCGGCGTGCCGGGTTTGTCAAACGGCGAAGCCAGGTCATAGTCCAAAATCTTGGCGAGATGGATCGCTTTGGAGGCCCACTGGGCATTCCCCAGCACATGATCGCCGGGGATGAGGGTGTCGCCTCGGCCACTTATGCCATGCCCACTCTGCGCCCACGCGACGACGACGCGCTTCTGTGAAGGCGTCACGGCGGCAAGGAAGCCGCTCGTTTTCTTGGCTAGGGTGCTCCTTTTGGCCATGTCTCTTGCTGAAAAATCGTAGCGAAAAGTGTGTGAGAGGCCGTGACTGACGAGGCTCACTTGGACAGTGTCCGCATCTTGATCGACTTGATGCACAAAGATGAGCTCACGAGAGTCACCCTGACTAAACCGGGAGTCAAATTTTATGCTCATTATCGTTCTAAATTTAGCTTGAAATGGATAAGTGTGACTTCGAACGGGTAACTGGTGGGTTGTAGCAGTGAGGAGATGAGTAAAGGCAGCAAACTTGCGGTCTTTAATGGCAGCCGGGTTCGAGAGAGTCCAGTCATTGATTAGAGCATCTTGTGTTAGATAAGTGAGACCAGGAGAAAGGAATAAGAATATAAATTCGAGTAGGGAAGAGGAGCAAGTGTGTAGGATGTAGGATGCAAAAATAGGATATTAGTGTAGATGTGTGAGAGTGGCAGAATTGGATGTGGATGAGCCCTATGAGCATGCCCTTCACTTGCTGTTCACTTTAACGCGGTCTTAATACGTGATTCACGATTTAATGTTATTTTTAAATTAAAAAAGGAGTACCTCTTTTATGTTTGTTTTCCTACTTAAGAATTGCCAGCACAGTACAAGCACCTTGTTATTGTCAGGAGCCTTGAGTGTGCGGGAGGCGGCAAGACGACGGTAATTGACTTTCAGAGATGACATGGTTTATAACTACAAGTAGTCTTAAAGCAACTAGAGTTCTCGATAGCCACCAGAGCCACCCAGCACGAGACACACCACCGTCGCTCTCTAGATCAATCCTCACAAAATAAGAGAAACCCTCCTCCCGTCCGCCTAGTTCTTCCCAAATACCCTGCGCTCCATGTTCACCGCCTGCATCAGCGCCCCAAACTGCTCCCCCAACTCCTTCACCACTGCGCCCACGTCCGGCGCCCTTGGCTCGACCCTCCTCCGGGCCGCCGCGATCTCGCCGCCCGCCAGGCCCGTCTTGCCGAGCGTCGCCAGGTGGCGCACCTCCGCTCCGCGCCGCGGCTTCCCTCCCGTGCCGCCGTCGGGCGTGATCAGCGTATCGTCCAGGATGTCCTGCCAGCGCGCCAGGTACACGCCGGGACCCCAGCATTCCCCGCCACCGGAGCTGTTGCCGGCGGCCAGCTGGGCCAGGCGCGCGTCGGAGCCCTCCTTGAGCGCCGCCAGGTACTCTGCGTGCTCGTCCACCGCGGCCAGCACCGCCGTCCGAGCCTCCCCGCTCAGCCCGGCGACCAGCCCGTCGAGCGCCTCATCCATCGCGCTCCTCGTCCCGTCGTCGCCGCCGGCCATCTCCTGCCGGAAGCGCGCGATCGAGGCGTTGCTCCACGCGCGCAGGTCGCGCCACACGTCCGGGCAATTCTTCGCCACCGCATGCACGAACCGGTGCAGCAGCGGCTTGTGGTCGTTGAGCAGCTTGACGTAGTCCTCCACTGTCACCGTCGGCGCGCCACCACCACCGTTGGCGGGCGTGCTGACGCGGATGAACTGGGTGATAAACTCCTGCAGGTCCGTAAGGTGCGCGCCGAGGTCGACGCGCTCGTGGACGGCGCGGATCACCGGGTTGTACGCCGCGACGGCCTCCTTGATGGCCTTGGTGAAGAGGTCCGGCGGGTGCCGGCAGAGCGCGCCCGTGATGGCCTCGCGGTCGCGCATCGACAGTAGCGCCGAGTAGTACTCCAAGACCCTGCCGTGCTGCGCCTCGCTCAGGCCCTCCGCCTCGCCGCGCGCCCTCAGAATCGCCACGACGATCGACTCCCGCGCCTCCACGCTCGCCCTCCTCACCGCCGCCTGCTGCGTCTTGTCGCTCGCCACGTGCTCCCGAATCGCCGCCCTCACCGCCTCGCTCAACCCTCCCGCATCCTCATCGTCACCCGCCTTGTCCACGCGCTGCACGGCCTTCTTAAACTCGCCGGCGTCGCGGGACAGCACCAGCGAGATGATGTTCTGCAGCAGGTTCATGCCGTCGTCGTCGCTCTGCGTGACGCCCAGCCAGTTGGTCAGCCCCGTGACGCTCAGCTTGGCCAGCAGCAGCCGCATCATACCGCTAATCATGGTCGCCGCGTTGCCCACGCGCAGCGTCTGCTTGATCACCCGGTACGGCACCAGCCCGTGCACCCCGTCCAGCAGCTTCAGCAGGTACGGCCCGTCCGGGCTCAGCACGAATACGTGGTGCAGCAGCGCCGCCAGGTGCAGCACCACGTAGCTGCTCGCCGCGTCTACCGCTGCCGAGTGCGCCTCCAGCTGGTCCGTCTTGGCGAGGTAGTCGAACATGGCGTCCACTAGATCCCCGTACACCAACCCGTCCAGGACATCTTCCCACGCGCGGGCGAGCTCCCGGCCGGAGCGCGTGTCGTACGTGTTCCTCTTCAGCTCCTCCTCCGTCGGCTTCACGCCGCCGCGCCGCGCCACGCCACCGAGGAAACCCCGCGCGATCATCTCAATCACCGACCCGGACCCCGAGGCCAGCGTCTTGCGCGCGCCCATCGCGCCCTTGTCGTAGCTCTCCGATAGGTCCGCGTCGGCGAGGCGGCTCAGCAGGCCCTGCACGCGCACCGCCCAAAAGTCGCGCGGCAGCGCCTTGACGGCCGGCAGGCGCATCACAAACGTCGACGTGAGCAGCTGCATGACCGGCAAAGCCGACGGCGCGTTGTCGGCGTCGTCCAGGACGCACTCGTCACCACCACCCTCCGCGTCGCTGCCGGCGGAGGAGGAGGACGGGGGCTCCGCCGCCACCGAGGACGGGGTATAGACCCGCGGCGAGTCGGGCGCCGAGGGTGTCGGCGTCGCCCCGGCGCTGCTGTCCGAGGACCGTCCCCAGAGGCTAAGCGCGAAGCCCGTCAGCCCGCCCCCGCTGCTGGTCGGAGCCGGGGCGGCAATGTCCTGGCGGGCCGCGGCCGCGGCTACGCGGGCTTGCTGCTCTTTGGTGCGGAAGGGGAAACCGTGGGTGAGAACGGCATCGGTGGACTTGAAGGCCTCAATCTCAGAGTAGGTTTCATGGTGGGTGAGGATGTCAAAGAGGGCATGCGTTTGCTTTGGCGTCAGGAGCTGTGACTGAGACATGGCGTCGCCAACGTGATGGGCTTTAATTCGTAGATATCCTCGTTTTCAGAAAAATTGACTATCGTATCCCAATGATGGCGGAATCCGAAAGATGATTGCCCTGAGTACTCTGTCGCATGCAACTGAGGGCCCGTGTTTGAGCCGTCAAGAAGAGGATAAGGGGCAGTGCTTGTTTCTGGTTCATCAATGTCTCAGAACGATACCGTGTCTCTTCAGTGTTGACTTGATTGTAGTAGATAGAAAGCAGACCATGTAGCGTTCGTGCACTTCGTGATGAATGATGAAAGATGGATGGATGTGTTTGGTGTGTGAATGTGGCGCGTGCAGAGAGAAGCGATCATGGGCGGGCGATCAAGATGTTTGAGCAAGATCCCCACCCCTCTAAATACCCCAAGTCAGGGCTGGATTTAAACGCCATGATCCCCCGCACTTTGGGACTGGCGTAATTGCAACTATACCTCGGTATGTGTTTATTTAATAGTAGAGGAAGCCGGTGCCTGCCCTGTCTTTGACGACCGAGTTGCGAAGGGAAGGGTTGTAATGGCCGTGCCTTGGCCTCCACCAGGGCTTGCTCCCAGGCCTTGCTCTACCTACAAGTACATATGTATCTACCAAGCATCTAATAAAACAGTCTTGAATGATCATCAAAAGTAGTGCCTCCCTGCTTTCAATCTACTTTTACCTAATTACTGTTCTTACCATTTCAGAAGCTCTTTTACATATTCTAGTAGCTGTCGCGGTGCTGAAACTCAGGACGTCACTTGCTTACGTGCTGTCACTGATAGATAACTAGTGTCTAAGGATCACCTCCCCGCACTTTTAGAAGACGCTACGTACACCTTATGCCTCGGTCTAGCAGTGACCATTCTTTGGCTTACGTCGACATCGAAACTGTTCTTGTCTCATCATTTCGTTCATCTCACATTTGAAGCTGCGCGTACAATAAAATACAATTCGTGTCATTAATATTCAAAAAACTAGTACAATAAGAAAACTGTCAAGGAAGGCCGGCCTCGAGCCGTGTGTGGTAACTAGCTTGTGGTGCGACGCTGTAAACAACAGTAAACAGCAAAACACTCAAAAATAGACACACCATGGGTATATAATTCGCATCGACTCAAACACTTTTCGCACCGTATTTTGTCTTGTTTCGTAGCATCCCCCTCTCTACTTGCCAAGTAGCAACTTAGTTGAGGGGGACAGGGTTCGTGGCGTCGAGAGCCGGGGCAGTCGTCTTCTTGAGACCACTGCCATTAGCAATGCCATTACCAGCATGGAGGCCGGTGCCATTAGCATGGAGGCCGGTGCCAGTGCTGTAAAGGCCGTCACCGTTGCCCTGCAGGCCTTTACCGGTACCCTGCAGGCCGTTACCAGTCGCAACTCCATTTCCAGTCGCACCAAGACCGTTTCCGTTGGCGGTATTGGCTGCACCGCGAGCTTTGTTAACGATCTGAGGAGCACTGGGAATGTCCGTGCTCTTGCTGGCCTTACCGATGGAGAAGACGGGGCTCTCCCACTTCTCGCCCTTCAGGGCAAGCTCCTTGTACTCGGTAGCCTTGGAGCTGACGCCACCAGGGAGCTTGAGGGCAGGGAAGATGCTCTCGTCATCCGTCATGGTAATGTTGATCTTCTTGTTGTCCTCCTTCTTGTCCTTCTTCAGCTTCTCCTTCTCCTGCTTATTCTTGAGCGCACGCTGCTGGCTTGCGTCATAGAAGCGCTTGAAGAAGCTGGTCTTCTTGCCATCCTCACCTGGGGTCTCGCCCGCGGCCTCGGCCTCCTTCTTGATCTCGTACAGAGTGCGGTCAAACTCGTTGCACTGGTCCTTGATGGCCTTCTCTACAGCCTTCTGCAGAGCAGGGCGGAGGGCGCGGAGCAGGATAGGCTTGAAAATGGCAAAGAGGCCCTTGAACTTGGACTTCTTGAGCTTGACGTTCAGGCTCTTGAAGTCGACGTCAACCTTCTCGACTTTGAAGAAGTTCTGGCTGTCCTTCTTATCGGCAGTGGAGACCTTCATGCGGAAAGAGAAGCCTTCGCCGGGCAGCAGGATGTCGGCGACACCAGTGTCGGTGATCTTGAGGAAGCCAGTCTTGCGCTTAATGTGGTAGCTGACATCGCGCAGGTCCATCTGGATACCTGAGACCTTGAGGTCAATCATGTTCTGGTGGCGGTTGGCAATGTTCCTGCGACCCCACTTCCAGTTGTTGTTGGAGACAAGCTCAGCAACGTTGGGCATGAAGTTGTCGCTCTCAAGAATGAGGTTCTCAATGACGGCGTCGAATCCAGGATCAGAGTACTCGATGCGAGGAATGGGGATGTAGGCAATGTCGCGGAGGATAGAGGGCAGGATAACATCAAAGAGATCCTTGACGAGGTGAGGCTTAAACTCGGACTTGCCATCGGCATTGCTGCCAAGGTCCTTGAAGAGCTTCTGGACCGCAAGACCGAACTGCTTGTTCTGAGGGTCTTTGTCAAACTGGTCGCCCACAAACTTGATCTCGTCAATTACATTGTCCGTATGAGACTTGTACTTCTCGCGAAGGAGGTAACGACCCTGCTGGTAAAGGACATCCCAGTCCCTGGTGGACTGCTCCTCTAGGACGTAGCCTTGCTCAAGAAGAAGGCGGTTGATGTAGCGATCCATGTTCTTGAACCAAAACTTCAGCTCGTCGTCCTTCTGGGCATCATCGTAGATCTGGCCGATGGACTTCCAGAGGTTGGAGGTCGAGGTGCCGTTGGCAAAGCGCTCGATCAGGGTGCGGAGATCAGCCTCGGCGGCAGCGAAACCGCTGCGAGCCTGGTTAAGAGAGCCACTAGACTCCTTACCATACGAGCGGCCGTGCTCGCCATAGGTACGGGCAAGGCGCAGGAGGCTCTGGATGGCTTGAGAGTAATCGGTGTGTTGCTGGCACTCAATAACCATCTTCTTGAGGCGGAAGATGATCTGATCCTTGCGCTCGGCGGGCATCTTCTTGTTGAAGTACTCCTTCGCCTTGCGGCGTTGTTCTTCCTTCTTCTGTCTGAGGTTCTCCTGGGTCTCGGGGTCGATGTTCTTGTCGAGCTTCTGCTGCAGAGTAGACCTGGCGGCATCGTGACCAGCAGCGAGGTTGGCGTCTCTGCCATCACCGGAGGCGGGGGCACCAGCAGCCCTGGCGCTGTCGGCAACGTCCTGCGCATCCTTCTTGGCATTGCCCTTGTAGAGACCCTGAGCCTGCTTCTTGAGATCATCCTTGTTGAACTTGGGAGCTTCGTGCCAGGTGTTATCCTCAGCAGCATGGTCAATCTGAGCGAGGTCGTCGTCCGAGGGGCGGAGGCGGCCGGCGGCGCTGCCAGCGGCATCACCAGCCATATCACGCAGAAGAATGGAGGAGTCCTTGAGGAGCTTGCGGAACTGGCCGTTGGTGATAAGCAGGGTTCCGAGGGTTCTCAGGCCCTGGAGAGCCTCCTCGCCATCCTTTTGGGCGGCGTCCTTGTTGATGGGAGCCTTGGGTCCCTGGACGGACTTGGCGTCGAACCGGGTAGTCTGCCAAATGAAGTCCTGGACGAGGTTGCCGTCGTTCTTGGAAAGAAGCAGGTTCTTGGCGAGTCTGACAACTTCACGGGTGTCCTCAACAAGCAGCTTACCGTCATCGGAAAGCTTGGTGGAGGGCTTGGAGAGAGCGTTGGACTGCAGGAAGCTGTTGAGGGCGACATCAATCTGATCATTCTGTGGAATTGGTTAGTGTTTGATGGCTTAGTTTGTGTGCAGGTAGGCGCTTACAGAGGGGACCTTGCCGGCTTTGAAGGCGCGGAAAATGCCGTAGATCTGGAGTTTGCGGTTGATATCCGCATCCTTCTCCTTGATGTTGGTAGGGCGGTTGACGTTGGCGGTAGCCATGATGGGCGGTAGTTCTAACTCGGGGCTTTTTTGGTGTTTTTGATGTTTAGTTGGTAGAGATTAGTCGGAAAGATATTTGGACCTAGTCAAAAGCGACGAAAAAGAGGTAGACGTTAAAATTAGAGGGAGGATTTCAATGGGTATCTTCTCCTTGGGTATCACAATCGAGGATTTGTATGGGTATTATGAGAAGAGGGTATACAGAAGACAATTTGATGAGGGGAGGAGAGGAGAGGAAGGCGAAGTGTAGCGAAACGGCAGTCGAGGGGGTGTTTATACCAGCTGGCGAGAGGGAGAGAACTGGGGGCTCAGGGAAAGCTTGCCGATGGTGACGTTGGCGGACAGCGTACGTCATAGCAATCGAAGTGGTACAACGCAGCCGCTGCATTGGGGCGGGAGGGAGGGGCTCGCGGGACACTAGACAAGGTAGGGAAGTAAGTAGAGAGAAAATGAAATAAAAGAAAAGTCTCGATCTGGCATTGTCAATGATGAACCTTGAAACCAGGAACGCATTCATCAGGCCAGGATGGATGCAGGGATGGATGGGGGTGGGTAAAGAACACGGAAGAGAACTCAAGAGCGGGATACACTGTACCGAGAGGGGGTGTGTGGCTAGTGCGATGGGTGGCTGGCCCACGTCAAGCCACATCATCGCCAGTAGGGAGGTACAGAGGTAACTAGTGAACTACGAAGATGTAGGTGCTATTAGCAAAAATAAGTTATTCTTACGCACTTTTTGGCAGGCGATTGAATTCAAGGCCGGGAAATTGACAGTGGGTCAGTTGCGAGGAGTCGAAGATCTTGGTGCAGCGGATGGAGCTGCCACAGTAGCGAGCGAATGCTGGCCGACGAGAGCGGCCGACAAGAGCGGCCGACGAGAACGGCCGACGAGAGCGGCAGACGAGAGCGGCCGACGAGAGCGGCAGAAGAGAGCAGCCCAATTCGCAGCAGTTTTTAGTTGCAATTTTGTCCAATTCTTCTTTTAATCACCTTGTATGGAACATTGATCACGGTTGTATTAGCTTTATTCCTTCGTTTACAGCCAGATTGCTGGTCGTTGCTCAGGAAAGTCATCACCATTGCCTGGGTGATGCTAACCCCACATTGCTCGGAAGCGAGCAATGGGTCGCTGAGCATCAATCAGGAGCCATCCCATCCATCCAGCCCAAACTGAGTTTTTTGCTTGAGACTATTTCCTCGCCGAAACTACCTAATAATGTACCCACTCGCCTGTTTGCCGTGCTTGGCAAGCTGTCCTCGACCTCGAAGCACCCTGCTACTTACAGCGAAGGTGCCCCCATGAGCCAATTGCCTCATGCCGAGTGTAATCGCCCATTTTCAAAATGAATTCATAAAAATATTGCTTGTAAGATCCCACCTACTATTCTTCCATTCGATGAGGTAGATGCAGCCGTTGCATGCCGTTGCATAAAAAGTCATGACGTCAATGGGGTTCCAGACCAGCACACACTAGCCACACCCAGTTTGTGCTCACAATGCAAGCTGAGACTTCTCCGCAAGAAAAAAAACTAGTATGTACCTCGCTCACCTCCTTCGCCGCCCAATTTAAGTAACAAAAACCAGCGAACACTAGTTTTTCTGTTTGAACCATCCATACTGGCTAACAAAGAATTAATAAACATCCCCCCGACTGATGCGCAAGCTGCACCAAGCAATCCCCTGCTAGGTCCGCCAGAAGCTTGTTTTAGGTGTGGCGGTGCATTTCCTTGACAGCTCCACCCATCGAAACAAGTGCGTGCTACTGAGCCAAGTGTTACATGCACACCCTGATCTTGGGGCACCAAAACATCATCGAATGGTCAACCTCCTTCCGTCAATTTTTGCGCCATCCCCTTCCTGCATCCCTTCCTTGGTACCACGCGGTTGCCTCCTCCCATCCTTGCGCCCTTCAACATGCAAATATATCGACTCGCGTTGTGCACCGCCACTATTAAGTTTACCCATTTAATTTCGCCATTACAGCAACCTCCATCTATGTCGTGTCCACCGTCCAGCTCATGGTGCATCAACATCATGCATGTGAAGACGCCTCCGGCCCACCACACTTCAGCACGACAGGGGATGGAGCACACACGACCAGCCCATGGCCAGCTACTGGTAGGTAACAACGGGCTGGAGAGCACAAGCCTTCCAATATTCTGCATCAGCCTGCAGCGGCAGTGTTCAACCTCTATCCTGCTCATTCATTCTCTGGCAATTCTTCTCTCTCAACTAGAGCCTCTTCCCTCATTACTCGGTCATTGCGAATTGCTTTATTAGCGACAAGAGCCGTCGGGCTCGAAATCCACAATTCGTCCCACTGATCTGTTTTCGACTGTGATAATCAATCCCCAGTGAATCACCATCACGATCACCTCGCCAACATCCCCAGCCATTCCCATTGCCTTCTCCTGCTTCGCAATCCCCATTTAATAATAGCTTTCCAGCTCTTCTGACTCCATGCAGTCTGGCTCACCTGCAAAGCTCACCATGACCAAGTAGCACCTAAGCAAGCACGCGACGCTGCAGAGGTTGGCCATCAGGCACCGAACACGGGAAGAGAAGCTCCCTTTCCCCTGGGAAACTCGTGCGTCCACCAGGAGATCTTCTTTTCACCCTAGCATCAGAAAAAGCAGCCGAATTCAGCTGGCTGCCTTTCCAGCTCCCACACGCCCCCTCCGCGATAGCTGGCGATCTTGCTGCTCATCGACCAACCACGGACCTGCTAACTAGCTGTGGCGCACCAAACCCATCTCAGCCACAGGCGCCGCAACCAGGTTTTGCAGTGCTGATGCCACTATGATGCTTGCACTCGCCAACGGCTTTTTTTGAGTTTTGTGACGTAGCCATCACGACAAGATCGCGTAGCCATAAGCGATTGCAAAAAGCGAGTTTTTCTCCTCTTGCTTGCCTCCAGAACTTGGTCGGATTTTTTGATTGAGTTCCGGCTTTCAGGGGCGGTGTTCGTGGCAGTTCTTTCGCAAGCATCCAGGGTAGCACCATCAACGTCAAGGAGCATGATTGTGTCTTGCTCTCCTCCTCCCTTGTAGTCTTTTAGTAGTTTTGGCCCATCCGCTTAGAGCTCCATATCACCATTGAATGTAGATTGCCTGGCTGATTGCACTACCTACCGCCATTAACAATTTCTGGTCTTGCTAGATCGCAGTCTTGGCGGCATGATCAATCCGTTCAATCCATATACTTTTGCGTCTCCCCATCTGGCTTTGCCGAATTGTACGATGAATTGAATTCGCCCGGCTTCTTCGTCTACTCCACACCGGCTTTTTGTTGGCGAAGATCGCTGGATAGACGCATTTGACAACTTATACTTAACTATTAGCGTAATGTATATCAGACGGCCGCACCATCATGCTCAACTAGAACAAGCGCAGGGGCAAACACTTGATCAAACTCTTGCTAGCAGCAACATTGACAGATTTAATCTATTTAGTTCCTTTCATCTGCTAACTCATGGGGCTGGAACAGAGGTGCCACCCCGAAAATGCAGCATGGCTGCGAGGATGATGTTGTCGTAAAACTTTCCCACCGGTTCCCAGGTCTATAATTCATAAAAATACGCTCATGTCCTATTGTGATCCCCCAAGTCATTGAAGAGCGATGCCTTGACACCCGCCGCCAGCAACCCCGCCCTTTCCTTGGCCGCAATCATGCTCGCCTCGCTCGACAGCTTCTGCATCGCCGCGTCGGTCGCCTTGGACCCCGTGATCGTCCCGCCCATGCCCATCAGCTGCGCGCCCCGGGTCCTTCTAACACCCGCAGTCGCCTCCCTGATCTTGGACGCGAGGTCCAGCATCTGCTTGTTCGCGAAGTCGCGGTTCGCCAGCAGGGGGTTCTGGCTCAGCGTCTGCACCCAGTACTTGTGCCACAGCAGCTCCAGCAGGTGCGCGTCCAGCGAGCTCTTGAAGTGCGACACCTCCAGGCTGTAGTACCGGCTCGCGTGCGTGCCGAACTCGGCGGCCTTGTCCAGCGGTACCGCCTCGAAGCCGTCCGCGCCCGTAGCGTTGGCGGTACCGCTGGCGCCGTCGTCGCCGGCCTTGTAGGACTCTGGGTAGGTGCGGAACGCCCCGATATCGACCTTGCCGGCGCTGATGGTGCGGTCGGGGTCGACGACGACGGCGAGGAACGGGTCCTGGAACTGCTGCTGTAGGGCCTCGGTATCGACGTCGATACCGCTCAGCCAGCATCCGTACCCGGGATGACTGTGGTACCACCCCACGACGTTTTCTTGACGGCCCTGGGCGCGGCAGAGATCCAGGTACTCGACAATGTATTCGTTCGCTTCGTCCTGGGCGTTGACGCGAGTCTCGGTGCCCTCGACAGGTAGTCGGAACGCGTCGGTGATGACAAACGTGTCGCCTTCGGTGTAGCCTTGCATCAGACCCATGACTTCGAGATTGCCTCCCGAGCGCGCATGCATAGTCATTTTGATGAGGGCCACGGCGCTGATGCGGACGTGCTTGAAATAGTTGGGGTCAGCCACCCACGGCCGCGATGCTTGCGCCGCCTTTTGTGCTTGTGCATCGTATTGGTACAGGGCATCTCTCTTCGGGTCGATGAGTTTTACATTGTTATCGAGTTCTATGTCTGGTTAGTATTTGAAATACAGCTCCGTGCATGTGCCGTCTTACCCCATGATTTGAGAGCCGTGATCTCGTCCATCCTGACTGCAGTTGCCGTCAAGACGGAGGACAATGTGGAAGGTGAGTTGGTGGAGTTGGTGGAAGCGCTGCCCCGCACTAGCTTGGCTGCCTATTGTATGTATGTATGTATGTACCTACAGTAGGTAGCTTACATAGTACATAGTTACATGGTTCGTATGTAGATATGCAGGATATTCTCCAGAGACGCCAGGTCACTTTAATACCCGAAAAACGGACGGACTCTTTTCTAAAGCGCAATGGTATCGTGATGAATTAAATATAAATGGAAAAGGGGAGTTTTAACTCGTGCTGGTATTGGCTATTGGCGCAGTGCTCTCTGATGTTCCTGGTTTTCACGTCAGGGCATCGTCTCCAAATCTGGTGGCCAAGTCCAACCACGGTCAAACACCCTTCCCCATTCGTTGATAAAGCGCAATAAAGTTTCTGCGTTCATCGATATTGCAAACATGCCGTATGGTTGCCCGTTCTGTTCCCAGTTGGCCAACGGTACCGTCGCGCAGGGCCATCCTGCGACCGCGGCATAATTGACGAGGGCGCTTTCGGATGGCGAGAGGACAATGTCGCAATTTCCGTAGGGTCGCATAAATCTTCCAATCCCACTGAAAGTAGCTTGATTTCGGAGATTAGATGCAATTTCTTGAAGCCGCGCGGGATTCGTCGTCCTCCTGGAAGCGAAAAAAAGTTCCATCTGCGTCTGGTATCCTATGGCATGTGAGTATACCGTCCCCCTTTAAATCTCTGAAACGGGCAATTCGGAAAGTAGCATACGGTGTGTACTTGTCTCTCCGCTGTCGTTGGCCTCATTCCATCTCATGACACCCTTTAAATCTTTGATGGAGGTGTCTTGGAAGCATCGGATGAAATCCCTTATTCTGCTGCTGAATTCGCCATCTGCCGAGGACAAGAATCAGAGAACTAAACCACTCAATGATATCTATGTTAAACTACTTACAAGACGTACTGACCAGACCATGCCCCTGATACTTAATCTCATCAGAAGGGGTCACTGCGGGAAGTGGATAGATGACATCTGCGCCGTGATGTCGCATTAGTGAGACCGCATCCTCGTATTCCTTAATCTAAGATGACAAGTGTTAGATGAAAGCTCTGAACTTTATACAGATCTCCACGGTTCACTCACAACTCGCGCGCCTCCCCACTTTCCAATAAGGCTTTCGTCCACGCCGCATGTGGTTGCGACAACACCAACAGAGAGGCCGCGAAATTCTTGCTGCAAATCCCCCATTCTCGACCGAAGGACTGCGCCGAGACCATCATTTTGCTGCAATATCTCTACCAAAGCAAGGATATCTGCCGGATGTCTCGCGATTGGCCCAATACAGTCAAAACTCTGGCTGATGGTGAAGACGCCCTCCATAGGTACTGTGTTGTGCGGGCATTTATAGGCGTACACACCACAGAGACTCGCCGGATACACCAACCCGCCGCAAGTCTCGCTCCCGATGGCCAGAGGAGCAAAGCCAGCTGCCACTGCTACGGCAGAACCGGATGAGGAGCCTGAGGTGATAGGCTGATCTTCCTCAGCCAGATCTCCTCGTCTGTAAGGAGAGTTTGTTTGCCCCCCGATGCCGCTATAGCCAGGTTTCATAAACGGCGACCTCATACCACAGAGCTCCGTCATGTTGGACTTGCCTAGTATAATCATGCCTGCGTCCTGCAGCAGTTCTACCAACGGTGCGTTGCGCCTCGCTGTCATGTTTGCGAAGACCGCAGAACCCACTGTAGTTGGCATGCCCATTTCGGGCTCTGTGACAACCACATCTTTCAGAATGATGGGGATTCCATAGAGGCTACTTCGAAGGGCGGTGGGATGCGCAAGACGCTGATTGTCAAGAAAGATGGCATCGTCGAGAATTTGCGACTCCGGTCGGATGCTCAGGAGACAGTTAAGACGACCGTTGTATCGATGGATGCGAGCCAAACAGGACTGTACCAGACTGACACTGGTGATCTCGCCTGAAATGAGCCTCTCTTGCAGCGTCGTGGCAGGCAGCAGATGAAGATCATGATCCATTGGACGAAATCGTACGAGGTTCAGGGTCGTCTCGGTGTTGATGCTTTTACTCAGGCCGAGCATCTGAAGAGGTAGTGCTTAGCCTGTTCCTTCCTCTCTGAGGGCCTTCCTTCCACGGCAGCATGCCCCGGCCAGAAGGTTTGTTTGGCGCTCGGCGGAATGCATGAAAAAAGGGAAGCTGACTACAAACAAGTAGCAAGCGGAGAGGACGTTGGAGGACGAAAGTGGCAGAAAGGAGAAAAAAACAAGCAGGGAAATCACAAGGCGTCGGCGCCTCAAAGACAGTGGTCAAATATATGCCGGACTAAAATGGGCAGTCCATCAGCGCACTGAATCAATCCAGATCGGATATTAAGCCTTCAGTTGAGCCACTCATGCTCGACAATACACGAGACAAGTAGACTGTGCTTTCTACCAACATCTTGCAGCGCCCCTGGCCTGCAGACCTCTATTCCACCGCCCTCTTCACCACATGGCTTTGATTGGATGCTCTAGGTCTTCGGTTACTGGGATAAACGAAGAGTCCCCCCCCTCTTCTCGGAGCCTTCTCTGCTTGGATTGGCGCGGCGCCGGGGGGGCATTGTATCATGCACTCGGGCTAAATTACTAAGGATTTCGGGGCTCGGAAGATGCCATATTAACGTTTTGATGAGACGATGGTTCCTTTCCGCATGCGGCCAAATTGTTAAACGTGGTGCAGGCGTTCTGATACAAATATGCTTGGACTCCGGTTCTCGTAACGGGTAGATGGTGTTGGACCTCCTGCTACCGCTCTGGCAACGAACAGGCGATCGGACTTGAGCCTGGCATGAAGCCGACGAGAAATTGCCATCCGAATACTATGGTTGACCTAATTGTCAATCAAGGCCTAGGTTCGTGTCGTTGAAATTGAAGCTGCTGCGGATGTTGAAACCCCGTACATGCACGGTGTGCCTTGATCACCAAAGAGCAAAGGGACGATGCCACAGAGGGACGTGCTACAGCAGCAATGACGTCGGCATATGAATTTTGAGGCTGAGTTGACAGGGCTTCTATGGCTTGCTGCTGTAGTCGAATACGCCCGTGCCATTATCATGGACAGAAGCCTGATATTCATTGCTCGTCTGCTCGTCCAATCAATCGTCAGCTAGCCCAAGTTCGACTGACTGAGAGTCCAATAGTTCCACCATATCAGACAAGGTGTGGCGTAAAGAATGATGGCAGATTTGAAATCAAAGACGTAAGAAAGAAAGGAAAAAAAATCACGCTTGTTGAGGGACGGTAATTAGTACAAAATACTGAGAGTGGTGTGGTTGGACTCAGGCATGGCGCTGCACGAAGTGCCTCGTTGTACTGATGATGCTGAGACTGGCCAATCATGGAGCAGCAGCGCGACAATAATCTCTACTCAAACACGGGGCAAGGCTAATATTTAGGATACTTGAAAAAGAAGTGTGTACTATTTTCTGACAACTAGTCTGTAGGTAAGAAAAAGAAAAGCGGAAGATTGGTATCATTGGATGCTAGACCGCCAGTTTCGCAACCGCGGCGGGATTGGGACTTCAAGGCTCCGGACGTGGGGAGAAAAAAAATAGCAACCAGAAAAAAACGAGACTAAAAAGCTAACGCCGAGGCAATGTTGGTCATGAAAATGCTAATGATCCATAAAGGTAGAGATGCTTGAAAATTGGATATGGGTGGGCGTGTCGTTCATCGGTGACCCTTTGTACAGAGTGATTAGGGTTTTGCTTCGTTTCAAGCGGGCCCTTGGTGTGCGCATGTAAGCGCAAGTTCGGTGAATCCAACTTTTGACGAGCATGGGATAGATGATAAATTGATCCGATGCGGCGATGCGAACCTGTTATTGTCGTTTGAGGCGGGTCGTGTGCGTAGCCAGAGCTTCGGCTTTCTGCTCGCGGGATCCGAAGCGACTTTTTATTCTCGCTAGGAGTGGGCCATGCGCGATGAAAATCCCAAACCGCATATGCACGCAGCGTTCAGGATTCCAGAGTGGGCTAATATTGATGCATATCGGATCCCACAAGTGGTAGAGCCCTATCATCGTCTGAAGCGGGCCAGGCAAAGACAAAGTGCTTGTCAGAATCTGCCTGTCGACTTTGCGCCTTCCTATTCTGGACGGGAGGGCCATCCTGCGCCGAGAGCACGCCTTTTCTGCTGACAGCTTTCCATTATTTATGAAAGAGAGACCTGCAGGATCATGGAGGAAAAAAAAAGACCTCTTATCCTACTGCATCGAGATCATCCCCTCTCTTTCTGAAACGCGCAGATTTGTTTCTCATCGGTGAGGGCCACAAAGGATTCGATGAGAAGCGGGTATTTTCCGACCATATTTCCGAGTGACAGGCTTGTCAGCACACGCAAAGAAAAAGGCTGAGTTGTCGCGTCGTGTCGGTCTAGGTATGGAATTTCATTCTGGCGGGTTTCCAAAAGTCCTTCCATGGCCCGAGCTTTTCCGGATGCAACGATGCATCCCAGGGGTTAAAAAGGGCACATGCCTGAAAGGGAAAAGGGCGGCGTCGCGAGTGGAAACTGTCCGCCGGGTGGAAGATACTGAATATGTCGCCCATGACGTGGCAGCTTCTCAGGGTCTTGGTTCCCAGGAGGAGGAAGAAAAAAATTTGACGGAGGCCCACTGCCAGACCAATTGGCCGACGCGGGTTGGCCCATGACTCTTTGCTTTTCTTTTCTTTGTCCGCCTCCTCATTGCTCGTAGGAAATGGGTATCCACCGGGCTGGAACTCCGTTGGGCCCGATCTCTTCAACGTCGGAAGACTTGATGGGCGCCTTGCGCGGTGGCAGGGCCCAGCGTGCGCGGCCTGGCTTGCGGTCGTCGAGCTTGCCTTGTCTGCGCATGGCCATCTCCATGACGGCGATGCGGATGAAGTCGGGGTTCTCGCGGATTTCTCGCTGTCGCATGGCGGCAGGCAAAATAGTCTTTTGCGTCTGCTGCTGCTGCGGATGATCCGCCTTTGCGGTGGGGCCACCATTGCCGACAGCGCCGGCACCGGTGGTGCTTGTGATGCCTGTAGGCGGCAGGGCTGACGTCGGCGAGCTCCGCGAGGCCGCCTGCGTGACGCGGGCACGGTGCACTTTGTAGGTCTGCATCTGGATGGAGGCCAGGCGAGGCCGTTGCTGCGGTCCGCTGCGGTCCTGGGGTTGCTGCGCCTCGAGCGGTCGCGTCGTCGGGTTCAGATAGCGGCGCAGCTCGGCCGAGGGCATCTCCTCGGTCACGGGCGGCCGCCGCTCGTCCGTGTAGGGGACGCTGGGGTCAATCGTGAGAATGGACCGGGACAGTAGGTCGTCTGGGGGGATGGTGATGGGAAAGTTGATGCTCGAGAAGGACTTGGCCGCCGACCGCAGGGCGCGCAGCGACGCCGTCAGGTTGGACTTGAACGCGGCCTTGAGCGGCTTGAAGGGCTCGCTGAAGACGGACATGGGCGGCTCCTCGGTAGGCTCCAGCGAGAGGGGAAATTCGTCGTCCTCGAGGCGGATTGACAGCGGGTGCTCGTCGCTCAGGACGTGCGGCGGCGAGCGGACAGGACCCAGGGACTTGCGTACTGGGCTGCGGGTGCGTCGCGTGGGCTCGCGGGCAAAGTACGGCGATGAGTCAAACGACGAGGCCGGGTCAGTGGCGTAACTGTCCCCTAGCGAAGGGACCGAGTCGTAGGAGACGGTATGTCGTAGGGAGAAGCCATCGGGGCTTTCACACGTCGTGCTCATGTCATCTTCTGTTGGAAGATCTTCCGGCGGCGATAGCAACAGGTCGAGGGGGTTGCCCGTCAGTGAGAGGCTGAGCTCCTTCTCTGAGACGTGCTGGCTCTGGACAATGTCCTGTACGGTTAAGGACGCTTCGGCCTTTCGTTTTTGGCGAATGGATTGGCGATGGCGTGGTATGTCGGTCATGGCCAGGAGGGCAGCGACGGAGGGCGACACGGCATCGGGCGAGTGCACGTCGCGGGCGTTGCGCCTACGCTGCGAGGCATGGTGTTTGTCACGGTTCGTACCGGTGCGACTGGACTGGCGGGGGATCTGGACGGGACTGCTAGTAGATGTTGGCGTCTTGCTCTGGCGCAGAGAGTCAACCGTCTTCGTTGTCGAGGAGCGTCGTTCACCACGGCCTTTGCTCATGGTGGTGGTGGTGGTGTTGTTGTTGTCGTTTGCCTCGCCGTCCGACTCTGTGTTGATGGAGGACGGGTGAGGCGAAGCTGCAGCGGCGGTGACTGTGAGGGGGACGTCGAGCTTGCTGCAGTCGGCATACTTGGCGCGGATGAGGAGAGGAGCGAGGGATGAAGCTGTATGGACGAGGGTGTGAAGGGTGGGAGCGAAGAGGGCGGCCTCACTCGTACAAGTAGTTGGTGGCAGAGCAGTCGGGCGACGAGGCGGAAGTGTGGTGGACCAGCAGGAAGCGTGAGCCATGACAAGGACAGGGACTGATACGGCGGGCCGCTGTTCTGAGCACCTGTTGGCGGGCTTGTGGGGGCATACCGTGCAGCGGGCTTGCCTTGTAAAAAAAGAACCAAAACCTCCTACATAGAACGCCCTGGAAGGGAGGAAGCTTCCAGCGGACGAGGCTTCGCTGCAAGGGGCTGTGTGTGCTGCAACGCGCTGTATGCCCGCTGTATGTCCGCCGCTGGCAGGCGAAGGAAGGCGTGGGGTCTTGTTCGTAGCTTGGGTTTTGTGTCACGCTGGTGGAGTCGGTACCCAGCTTTTGGGACGATGGTGACTGCCCAACTCCCCGAACGGGCAACAATCAAGGCGAGCTAGTAGAAATGGTAAATAACCCAAACGTTCCCAAAGTTCCGGCCGGCCGATGCAATCAGGCAGGTAACAGCGGCACGCTGTACGTAATTTGCCAGGTTATCGCGCGGGGACTGGAATGAAGAAAGGCCTTGATGATGGGAACGGGGGGGGAGGCCCGCAAAGTCAAGACGCTGCTGGCTGATCAGGGTCTATTGCGTGGACCAGGGCAGGGGAGGGAAGAAAAAAGGACCCTCGAGCGCTTCAGGCAGGTCCCTTGAATTTTCTTTCGTAACACGTCGCACAAAAGAAAAGGCGATCTTTTCTCGTATGAGGATTGTGGTACCGGTATTATATCGGGATTCGTAATCCGAGGTGATTTCGTCGTCTGTCGGGCTGTCGTGTGCTGTTGGACTGCGGGGGCTGAAAATTGCCCGTTCGCCTAACACTGGGCTGCGTGCCTTGCAGCGGGCGACCGGCCAACTCTCTTTTTCCAGTTGAGTGTGTCTGCTTCTCTGCAGCGCGGGTGTTGCTGCAGCTTCAACTCTAAACTGACGGACGGTCGGGTTTGCGCTGCGATAATGAAATACCCAGGTGTGATGGTTCAGGAATGGATCTCTTTTGCGATGAATTTAATCACAGCCTTTCGTTTCAGCTGTTGAAATCAGGAGGCCGTCCTTGGCGTTTGCTGGGTTGGTTGGTCGTCGTGTCGTGTCACGGGGAGGCCGACGAGGCGGATTAGTGCGCTCACAGGCTCGTACTGTTGTAGCCTGGTGACGATGAGGCGCTGGGGACGCTTGCGCTGCTGCAAGTCAGCCTGGAGGGGTTCGTTGTTGGTAAGCGCGTGGCCGCCAGGACAATAAAAAGGAAGACCAACGACCAAAAGAAATGCTGGTCGAGTTGATGTTAAAAAAGAAACAAGAAAAGATGGAAAATACAGGAAACAAGGAAGGGGAAGCAGGAAGTCTGACCCATCTTGTCCCGGAATCTTCCAAGACTTTGAACCAAACCTATGACTTGTTATCCCCTCTTCCTCACCCTCCCCCCCCCCCCAACCAGGCAACTTTGAATCGCTCCCTCCCCTATAAAATCGGAATACTAATGCCACTGATAGACTAATGATATTTTACCACGGCTAGTTCCCTTGAGCCTGAACCCGGCGTCGCCCAAGGCCAGCAGTTTGGCCCCAACAAAGCCTCGCCCCGCCTCCGCAATCACCCCCAAAGCCCTAGCGCCTGCCCAATTCGGCCAGCCTTTCTCTCTCTGGACTTGGCGCTATCGCTATCATCTCGTGCTGTACGATTATCAGGACAGCACGATTCGTTCCAGCTGCATTCTCCTATCAGTCAGTCGATGGCTTTAAGATAACGACGGCCCCGTTATCGCCTCCGATCGCGGTACCAGGGCCACGCAACGAACGCATCATCGCCTGCAGCATAATCTGTATAGAATAATGTATTCAAGGCAGCAGATAGTTACAGATAGCCGCAAAGAAGAGAAAGAGAAGACGGAGAAGTAAACCCGCCAACTGCACGCGCCAGCCCATTGACCGTCGTCTGCCACACCAGCGCCGAGGCTGTTGTGTGCGTCATACCATGATACCACCCACCTGCCCATGGCCTTACCACCAAAAAAAAGGCCCCAAGAGTCATCATCACCCGAGCGATCCGGCAAGCGCTCACATGCAATCACCCATCGCGTTGGGAAAGTTCAGCCGCTTGTTCACAGCGAGAGAGTCAAAATGAAACAGACGACAACCTGTTGCAGCCAAGAAGCTGAGCACCAGTATTGATGCAAGCCGCCACGCTCCCTGCCTTTTCCCGTCCCCCCTTGTAAAACAAGCCGCTGGACCCCTGGATGCCCAATGCGACGACTCTTATCTGCCACCCGAGACCTGCAGGTCAAGAAGCCGTCATGGTGGTTGGTGGCTCACTGTGTGGTGGTGGTGGTGGTGGTGGTGGCCGCCAGCGGCTTATCAATCCACTTCCCGTCGGCATTGCTACAGTACTGTTGCTGTTGTTATCTGACAATTCCGCGCCGCGCAGAAACAAGGCTAGAACCGGAAGATTTCGACTCTGTGGAATTTGGTGCTGTCATGCCCATTGCTGTTGGCATCGCTCTCTGGCGCTCCCTGTGCTGCTACGCTCTAACTGCAAAATCGATCCGGACCCCCTCTGTTGCCGTTTGACTTGTGCGACCGCACCACGAGGGCTCGCTGCACTCTTGGAAGCCAACTTAGCTTAAGAGTAAGGTTATTGCCGTTCCATCGCTAAAACACAGACTGTACTGTACGTCTCTCTTCAACAACGCCTGTGCGCTGGTCGTCCGTGTAGCACCATCCCTTCGCTGCTCCAGTCCGACGGTAACCCTTGGGCGGAAAAATGTAGAATGCTTTTCCATCTTTCGTCGGATCCCATACTCTCTCACTCGGGCTGCTCTCGGCAGACACCAAAAATTACAAATAAGTATGAAAAAGTCATAAAACATTCGATATGCTGTCAAGAGCAAGTGTTTGCCAGCCAGCACACCTCAATCGGCCTAGTCCACCCGTCGTGTCTTCCAACTTTGTGGTGGCTGGTCGGACAATATTATTCGGAATCTGTCCAACGCCACCTCTTCTATTACGGGCCCTTGTGAAATGCCTCAGCCGAACCAGAAGGCCATTCTTCCCAATGTCGGCCCAAATGTCCATCGGAATGCCATCCTGCCGCCCCTGGCCGCGCGCACCGGGCCATCTTCTAGACCAGTCTCGACCCCTTCTGGTCCTGCAGGAAGGTGAGAAATATAAAAGAGACTTGTCTGAGAGCCAGGGACACGTCGATAAGGCCTGTGACACGCACCATAAAGAACAACGGAGGAGAAATGCATTGACACCTGATGATGGTTGCTTCATGCTTTTGCCTGCAAGATTTGGTCCAATGATAGGGACAACAGCTGATGCGCCCGCATAGCACTAACAAAGTGTCCAAGCCCACCAGAAGAGCCACTGCAAGACCCTTCTTTTTTTTTCAGCTGCAGGGCAAATCCTCGCCCACCTCCTCTGCCTGATACAACTTGTTTGGGTGCAATTCACGAGCCTTTTTTTGTTTTTGTTACACATCACATTTTCCCACGTCCACCTGGCACATTGTGTTTTTTTTTGTCTCTCCCTTTTGTCACGGTTTGCCGAAGTTCCTTCCCTGCTGTTGCCAATCACGCCCGTTTGCGTTTTGGCGCCAGCCATTGGGCCTGCAGGATGCCGTCATCATCAACGGAGCGACTACAGATTAGTCTCGTGGGGGGTTGGGGACTTTTTTAGTTTCAATTTCGGTCCATGGGGGTAATCGTATCAGTAAGCTGAAGAGAGGCTTATGGACTAATTAATGAGGAATGGAACGAGAGGTCGGCCCTGGCATGAGAAACCGCACGATCGGCGCGCGTTCGATGGCCTTCCTCCAAAGGAAAGTTGGCCCTTCCGTACACTGCAAAGTGTTGGAATGTTGCAGCCTGTCCTGTGCCTTGTGCATGCTTCTCGTCTCACACCGGAGGACGGATGCATAGTCTGTAGGCGCATCCTGTCAATATTCGCCCCTGCACCAGCAAGACTCGACCAGTGACCTCTTATCGCAGTATTCCTTTTTGCCATGAGGACGGATGGCCATCCTCCGACCTGTGTCAGTCAGTCATCCATCCTTCAGCCCCTCCCTTCCTCCCACCCCTCTTCTTCCCCTCGAAGTTTTTTTTGCATCTGCCTGTGTCCCAGTCACGGTCGGCTGTGACAGCCAAGCCCTTCTTCATGACTTGAGTTTGCAAGTCTCAGTCCTCCCGACCCAGTCAGCGGTCGGACGAGCATAATCGCAACCCCACCACCAAACGACCAAAAGAGACGCCCACCTGATCACTTTGCCCCTCCCCCACCATCCACTAACTATCCGTGGTTAAGTAATTGTGATTCCGATTCTGGGGCCCCTCGCCACTTATTATTATGGTGAGGGGCCGTCTGTCTCGCGAGAGAGAGAGTGAGCCCAGGGTCATGAGGGCGGTCCTGACGCTGAATCCCTTCCATGTAAGGTGATAGTTCTGTGTCCTAGGTCCGTGGTCGGCACGTCGTACGCCTACAGGCGGCGATAGGTCGATGCATTGCGGATTGACGACCGACGGCACTTGGATTGGCCACTGTTGAACTGGTAATTTACTATATTCTCAATTACACTGAAATCTAAGTTGAAAGATAAACATCATAAAAATTTTACAATATTAAAAAGAGAATAAAGACGATAGCGGCGATAGAGACGATAGACAGGACAGACAGGATAGAGAGGACAGAATGAATAAAGCAAATCTACATAGCAATCTATAGTCTATCTAGTCTATATAAAAGCAACCGTGACAAGCCAGAATCTAGATAACAAAGTTCTGATACGAAAGCGCTACCAGGAGCGGCGCCAGCATTGCCATGTGTTCGACATTGTCAACGCGGAATGGACCGTACGGCTGCATGTGAAGAAAGCATTCCGGCCCAAGAAGTGCCTCTTGATATGCTGGCTTGTCGATCGAGTTCATGATGTAGTGAATGTACTCCTTCGTGTACGTTGCAATCGTGACGAAGACCTCGCGCTGATCCTGCGAGAACAGAAGACGACTTTTGTGGCAGAGGTTAGTATGAGATTAGACATTATTGATGACCGGCAGGCCAGTTCACCCGCAACGTACCGAAACTTTCCGTTTTTGTCGGGCTTTTGGCCGAGGAGCGCCGGGATGACGCCAATCCACGCCGCCATCTGCGCCGCTTCCTGCACGAGAATCTGCTCACGCCAACTGTGATGGTAATGAGCGCGGGCCATAGGCTTCACCTCTATGATTGCGGTGATGGTTTTGGTGTTGGGAATAGCCGCTTTGTGCTTGTAGCCCCCCCGTGGTGCGGCATTTCGTTGCGACTTCGCGCTGCCAGCAGCCCTCTCCTTAGCAGTGGCCTCTGCAGGCAGCCCGGCCCTCGCACGAAGTCTCTGAAATTCCTCCCTGAACCTCGCCTGTTCCATGATCTGCTCCGGAGAGGCCCCATCGACCCGGAACATGCCGTCAACCAAAGCCTTGTACGCCTTGTGCGCCTTGCTTGCGCTGTTCGGGATGCAAAAGCTAGAGCGACACGGCCACCAGTCGCCCGTGACGTCCTCCTCCGGAGTCGCTCGCACCAAGGCGTTCAGGAAGAGAACGAAGGCGACGTTGACAATCTCCTCATCCTCAACTTGCCACCTCGCTGCAGTCGCATCAACCGTGACTTCTGAAAGTGTGGATATGGAGGATGATTCTGTCGGCAGACTGGGAGGTCCGCCGGCGCCTTCCTCGCCACCGGCAGGACGTCTCTCCCATGGAAACTTTAGATGCTGACGGTATGGAATGTCGGCCTGCCCATCCGCACACCGTCGATGATACAGCTGCACTAAACCAAATAAACCGTCGGACATCAATGTTTCGTTGCCGCATGCCGCCTTATAGCCCCCCCAACTGGAAGAATCTTCCAGGAAAGCTTCAGCCTTACTCAGGGAATCTTCATCAATGCGCAGGTCTCGTCTCAGTCGGTTGCGGCTATAAAGCCGCATCCAAAGGACCTTGAGTGTATAGAACTGCTCAACTGTGGATTCCGAGGCGGACTTTGGATTAATATTTGTAAGGGAATAGTTCTTGTGGTCCTGCTGCGACATGTACTGCTTCCATGCATCGAGATCCATTGGAAAAGGTGCCTTAATTTCAACCTCAACCGGGTTTGAATCGTTATCGGAATCTGAGTCTTCAGACATTTTGGAGGAAGAAATGTAAGGGAAGTCGATAATTGAACAAGAAGGGATAGATAATAATGTTGATAGCGCAAGAGGAAGTTGCCAACGATACTACCAAGCAGGATATTTAAAGTTACCAACTCACGTTCTAAGTCAATTCCTTCAGATAATGTAAGCGCCGTCCAGAGGTGCAGCGAAGCTGGAGGAAATACGATCACACGGGCCGATGAGCACATGGCTGCCGTGATCGTCGACGCGAGGTTTTGACGGGAGGTCAACTCGCAAGAGCCCTTCGATCTGGACAGAGTGTATATGTTACTCTTTGCCGCCAGGATTTTGTGATCATTGAGGGGAGTAGAGCAACAAAATATCGGCATCCGGGGGCGGTGTAGCACCCAATATGCCACTGCAATCTCCCTTGCGAAATCGGCATCTTTGTGAATGGATTTGGCAGGCTGAAGGGACGGGGCGCGTATCGCTTACTGTAGTATCTCTTTCACTGCTCTTTTTTTGTTATTTCTTTCTTTCCTTCCTTCCTCCTTCTTCCTTCTTCCTTCTTCCTTTCCCTTCTTTTCTTTTTCTTTCTGGAATGACCGGTAAATACTTCGGTGTACGATTGCGAGGCCACTTGGAACTTGCCGTCGGTATAATTTGCTCATATGAGATATTAAATAGACGATTTGCGGAGCCTCGGAATGGGAAGTGTAGATGCTACAAATGACGCGGTTGGAAACGAGGAGTTTTGGGAGGTACGCGCAGTGAAATGAAACACAAGCGCGTAGAGATTTACTCCGATGTGATGGATTGGTTGTGAGAAATCGAGGTCAAGAAGATAATGGTATGCAAAACAAGACTGCATTACCTTGAACCTGCCGTTGTTGTATTACAATTGTATGTGATATTGGATTCGTAATCAATTGAGCTGGCTAAAATATCGCCGATAGGCTTGAACGAGCATACACTACGAGATAGCCGATGAGGGCGAAACACAAGCGCGTAGGCCTGACAAACAAGTTATTTCTCAGGACCTGAAGGATCCCGTAATAAGCGAATCGCCGGGAAGGGTCCGTGGCATGATACGAACCTGACTTGAAGGTTCTGCAAGTGCGAATTGCAACGTGGACGGGCCGAGTCGTCTATCCGACTGCACGAAGCCATCACTCGAGCAACGCGAAACCAACGTTTAACACCATTACACGTGGGACAAACTTCACCCGTTGGCTTTGTTGCCTAATTACTAACCGAGCGATAAGTAATGTTCATGGTGGGGTTTTGTCGACCTGTGTTACTTGAACCTGTGCGACTCGTGAGGCGATGGGGACCCAGCGCGAATCACTCCTTCCGCTTTGTTGATCGAGCATCCTCTCGAGTCATATAAACAGACTAGTGAAGCTAATCCATCTTGAAAAATTATTGAATTCATCAGAACTATCAAACTTGCTACATTTACCTTACTGTTTTCACATTACCTCACCCTGCGCGACTGTTGAAAGATGGGCTCCCAAGCGCAGGCTGTCCGTGATGATTTGTTCAAGGCGGCAGTAGTTGCCGTCTTACAAACCAAGGATCATTATGTTTCCCAAAGCCACCTGGACAAGTTCGGCATCACCCTGAAGCATCTAGACCTGAAGACTGGCGACATCGAGCATAAAGAGGGCACGGCCAGGCTGGCGCCCATGCCCAGCGCAACGATCGAGCAGATTGTGGCGTCCAACCAAGCGAAACCATGGGAATTTGACGACGATCTGTTCCCTCGTGGAAACGAGGAGTGGGAGCAAAGAGACAGAGAAGACCCTGACGCAAGATTTTACCAAGCGCTGCGCGTGCACGACGCTCTTGGGGGCTATGCGAGAGTGTGCGGGCATATTAAAGAGAACAAGTGGCGGCTCTGTCCGTGAGTACACCTAGACGACCATATTTGGAATAATTATATGTTTTTCATGGATGCACTGTAACTGCTGCGATTGTTCATCCGGCTAATATGACTTCGACTCAAGCGACGACGCGGTTTATTTGCAGGGATTTGACGAGAAAAGGAGACTCTGCTACCAGCACCAGGCTGTTTGCGAGCCCTACAGCGAGCCAGGAGTATTGGATAGCAGCAGACCCTGCATTGTGGCCTCTCAGCTTGACGCGACTCCCTTCATTGAGGGCAGGCTGCTCAAGAGTGAGCTCAACGCCCTGATCGTCCTCGCCACCAGGTACGATGTCGATTCGAAATACGTCAACTGCGACGAGTATGTTGTAAGTCAATACCGCCCCGAATTGTGGGAAAATACGGTGCAGAGAAAGGAGGTCAAGTCACCGTGGAACCCTGCTGATGCTCTTGGAATTCTAGATTACCGTCGTCACCAGCAGCGACCGAAAGGTGCGCCTCGCGCAGGGCAAGATAAACTTGGCACGCAAGACATTCGATGTGAGCCTGTCGGATGCTCTGGATTTCGAAAGCGGCTTCGAGAAAAATTCGGAGAATTGGTACACCCTATTGGGATGGTTTGCAGGCACGATGGCACCACCGGCGAGCTGGAGCTAGTTCTGCCAGACAGACTTGCTGGCAAACGATTTGGCAATCCGACGTGTGCGTTATTATTTTTAAATTATCCCTGGAAAGAAGATGTCCGAGATTCTTGGCAGAGAAGTTCTCCGCTGCAGAGCTGCCCGCTAGCAAGCACGATGAACTTGCTCCTAGTTCCCTCCGTAACTGTCACAGCAGGCCCGCGTATGCGTGGTGACTGCGGCTATGCCAATATCCTAGATATTGTCTGAAACTAGACTTCAATTGCCGAAGATGTGTATACCGATAGGTGCTTCCGGCACAAGATAGAGTCGTAGATGAATGGCGATGTCGCTGGGCCGGCGGACTTGGTGGCGCCAGAGTTGGCTGGTCATTGGCAGCAGTTGGCTTGGAAGCTACAATCTTTCTAGAGCACTGCAAATCTATTAAACTGGTATAAAGAAATGACGATGTATTGTGCGAATTACTGAACCTGACAGAGCTCAAGACGAGGCCTGGCGTTGTGCCTGCACAAGCACGGATGGAGGGAGGAAAAGGTGTGCGCATGGCTGTTTACTGATGACAAAGGTATGACATGTGTACTAGAGAAGTGCCAAAGGTATAAATAAACAAGATACGCTTGTGCGTTTGCTAACTTATCAGGGGCAGAATGGCACAACGGCATAAACGGTCGCCCAAGCGACAGGTCCACGACTTGCGTCCCGGCGACACGTTCCACCAGCAACCGCAGGAAAGCGAGTCTTCGACTCCCACGCTTTACCAGTTATTGCTAGGTTTGAGGTGTTTGAAGAATTCCAATGAATTATTTTCTATGCTTATTAGGCAAAGGTTGATGATCTTCGAGAGAAGTGTAGTGCAACTTGCACTACAAACAGGCGTCTGGTGAGAAAGAAGCTGGCCGCACCCCTTGGGCTGTCATGGGTTGAATTCAATTCCTGGTTCTGTCCTTGATTTTTGCCGTTTTCTTTTTACTGTTCGCGTTTGCTGTCTGCGTTTGCTGTCCGCGTTTGCTGTCGGCGGTGCCAGCTGGCAGCTACGACACCCTAAGCAATGTGGCGGAGAGGCAAACCAAGGAATTTCAGATGCATTATTTCGAACCAACTCCTATTCTTCACCTATTAAATGGAATTCTCTCTAATAGCTCAACTGCACCCTCCCTGCCGACTGTGATGCCGACATCGCCAATGGTCTTGGTCCTGAAACCCGCCTCGCAGTAGCAAAAGTAATACTGGCAACGACATTAGCTTCAATCCGACCAAACAATATTCGTGGCATCTTACATTCCACTTGCGCTTGAAAATATCCAAATCTGCGTCCGTCATGTGCGGGTGCTCTTTCCGCAACGCCGGAGCAATCATCTCGTTAAAGTTGGTGAGGAAATTGTCCCTCCAGCACTGCAGAGTTTTGATGTAGTGCCCCCCAAAGGACAGTATCTCCTCGACCACAATCTTTCCCTCGGATCCCACGTTGATGCTATGGACCAGGCCGCTGACCGTCGGCAGATGACCACCGGGAAAGATGTACTTCTGTATAAAGTCCTCGCCCTTGACGTACGCATCGTACCGCGCCTCGGGAATCGTGATGCACTGGAAGTATCCTACGCCATCATTCTTCAGGTAGCGGTCCATGCATGCAAAGTACGTGTCTAGGAACTCGTGGCCCACATGCTCGATCATTTCTATGCTGACAATCTTGTCAAAGGTGGTATTGAGAGATCCGACCTCGCGATAATCCCCGAGAAACACTTGAACGTGCTCGGAGAGCTTGGCTTCGGCGACCCTACTCTCGACCAGCCGCTTCTGCGCCAGACTCAGAGTCACGGTCGTCACTCGACATCCTGTCATCTTGGCGGCGAGAATGGCAAAGCTGCCCCAGCCGCTGCCGACCTCCAAAACGTGGTCCGTCGACTTGATGCGCGCCGACGAGATGGCGTACTGAAGCTTCCGCATCTGCGCCTCCTCCAGCGTCTCGCCCTGCGAGCGGGGATCTGTGGTCGGTAGCCACAGCGCGGCCGAGTACGTCATGTCGGGGCTCAAAAAGGCCGAGAACATGTCGTTGCCCAACGAGTAGTGCGCGACGGCGTTGAGCTTGGCCGCGGATATGTCGTTGGCGCGCCTGAAGATGGCGCGCGTCATGGCGCTGAAGAGGCCGACCACGCGCCAGCTGGCGAGGATGCTCTTCTTCGAGGCATTCTGCACGAAGAACTCGAAGACGGCGGTGAGATTCGGCGTGGAAATCTCCCGTAGCATGTAGCTCTGGGAAAAGCCAATATCGCCAAATAAGAGCGCCCGCATCCAGAAGACGTCATCGTGGACGACCAGGATCGCAGGGGCCTGGAAATGGTGTGCCTTTGCGTTACCAACGACGGCGATTTCAGAGCCATACGGGTCTTGTATGCACAGCAGGCCCGAAGAAAAGGTTGCGAGTCTGCCCAGAACAAGGCTTCGAGCGGCCCTGTGGAGGAGCGATCGGATGGTCAGGCTCCAACCACGGAAGCGGGTCGCTAGTGACGAAATCAGAGCCATGGCAAGTTGAGCAATGCCGAGAGATGAAGGAAGAAGAAGATCCGAAAGCTGAGCTGGCTGCTGGAACAAGATAGACTGGTGTGGCTGTGACTCATGGCCCCTCAACGTCCTTTTAACCTCTCTGCGTGGCCACAGCAAGCGCCGAACCTGTGATTCCGTGTGCGGGTTGAATCCACAGACACGACAGCAGGACTTGGCTTGCATCACCTGCTAGTCGCCGTGTCTTGTGGTGATGCATGTCTGGCCAGAAGAATGAAAATCTCTCCGTAGCGTGCGAGTTCGAGTTTTGTTCGAGTTGCCAGCAAGCCTCCCTCGCACAACACATCTCGAACATGCAGCCGTGCGTGGGGTACGAGACAGCCTGCCCCCCAAACAGAGCAACCCGACTAACTATATGATTCCCGCCGCTAGATTCCGATATGGTATCGGAGGGGTAAAGTGATTTATGACTGCCAGCGCATGCATGTCTCAGGTTGTGGACGACAGGTCAAGCTACACTGCATGGCCCTCGAGGATGAGGGGGGCACCAGAACGGGTAAAAAGACGTTAGAAGGAAGCCGTTATGTCCTGTTTGGGTAACACGGGATAGAGGCGTTTGCCGTCAGCAACGTCAGACTATGCTGCGCCATGGTGTGAGAAGCTAGCCGTGGCTTCGTCGCTCTCCTCTGATTGTGAGCCCATTATGTGAGGGGGAGGGGCAAGAGGAGATAAGGCGCATGATGGGCTGGAGAAGAAATGGCGCATGGGCTGATATAAGAAGAAGCGTACACGACCAAGAGGGAAGGGTCTATGGGCCGGTCCCCAGCTCCCCCAAAACTCTCCGGGAACAGGAATCATGGCTGTTGTGGCTCTCGTCTTCGTGGCCAGCGCCTTGGTGTATTACACCTTCCGCGCCGCCGTCAATTTTTACAGTCGAAAGGCAAAATGCAAGCCCGGCTTCGCTAACGATGGGTTATCCGTGTACCCTCACATAGACCCCTTTTGGGGACTGGATCTATCTCTAGCCATGTGGCGAGACTATACCCGCGGTCGTCTTGCTGAGGGCATGCGTTTGCGACATGCACGCTGCGGTGCGACGTTCAAGGCGCGCGAGCTCTTTGGCGCCGAGTGCATATACACCGTCGATCCCGAAAATATCCGGGATGTGACGACGATCCAGTTTGCGCGCTTCCAAAAGTCGGCGTGGGTTGACGAGGCGTCCAAGCACATCGGCCACGGCGTACTGATGAACGAGGGCGCGGCGTGGCGGCGCTCCCGCGCGCTACTCAAACCCGTCTTTGCCAAGACGACACTGGACGAGCTGGCCCTCGTCGAGCCTCACGTGAAGAACATGATTGCGGCAGCGCGGGCGCAGCAGGGTAAGACGCTTGACTTTTTGGATCTGGCGACGCGGTTCTCCCTCGACGTCGTGACCGAGTTCCTCTTTGACGGCTCCGTGAAGAGCTTGTCCGGCGCGGGGGACAAGGCGGACGGTAGCGACTTCCTGGCCATGGTCAAGGCATTTGAGCCGGCCTGCGGGCTCTTCATCGCCGTCGGCGGGCTGGCCTGGTTCAAGCTCGCCTTCTCGTACCGGAAGCTGCTCGCCGTGGTCGGCGGCATGAAGGCCTTCTTCAAGCGGCGTCTGGACCTTCTCCGAAAGAAGCAACGATATGCACACCGCGATGACGTCGGGTCTCGCAAGAGCAGCACATCACTCTTCCGCATGCTGGAACAGGAGGGCCTCTCGGTCGACGACATGCAGGCGGAGCTGCAAAACATCTTCTTCGCCAGCTTCGACACGACAACGTCGCTGCTTGCCAACCTCGTACACGTCATTGCCGGCCGGCCTGACGTTCAGCAGAAGTTGCGGGACGAGATTGCGCCACTCCGGGGCACCCCGCCCACGAAGCAAGACATCTCCGCCATGTCGTATCTTCGCTGTGTCTTATACGAAGGTGCGCCCTCTCCCCTTCCCCTCTCTCTTCTTCTCTGTGCCCCCTGCGACCTCCGCTCAAATGGCCCCAGCCTCCGTCCCCCAGCTCAGCGATGTCGTCATGCCCCCTTGTCCTTCCCTTTGTTCAACGCGCGCGCCCCAGTCTAACGTTTGTTTGACTGACTGACACACGCATCAGGACTCCGTCTCTACACGCCCGTCGCGTCGCACTCACGACAAGCCGCCGTCGACACCACGCTGCCCCGTGGCGGAGGCCCAGACGGGCGCTCCTCCGTGGCCGTGCGTGCGGGCACGTCGGTGGTCTGGAGCGTGTACGCGCTGAACCGCGACCCGATGCACTACGGCGAGGACTGGGCCGCGTTTCGCCCGGAGCGGTGGGCGGACGGCACGCATTCGGCGTCGTCGGCGCCGTATTTCATGCCGTTTGGGTCCGGCCCGCGGGCATGCATCGGTCAGCAAATGGCGCAGACGGAGATTGCGTACGTGCTGGTGCGGCTGCTGCAGGCGTTTGAGACGCTGGAGAGCCGGGACGAGCGTCCGTTTCGCGAGGCCGAGGCCGTGTCATTCTACAGTGGGAATGGAACGTGGGTGGAAATGTCATAATGGGTAAATGGTACAATGTATTATGAATGATGTGTAGATGTTAGATGATGGAAATCCTGTGTACTCTGAGCTAAATTGGCAGCCAATCTGGCAGCGCCGACTTCCAACAGTTGCCTCCGCTAGCGTCAACGTTGTTTGACCCCAGCTGTTAGGTAGAGAACAACGCTTGGAAAATGCAGTGATGATAATATTAATAGGAATAAGAAGTATTTCTTCTTTTTTGAAAGAAAAAAAAAACACAACAGCCTGACAGGCTCGCTGGGCGGCAACAAGATGTGTGCACACGGACACAGAGAAACTGGCCACCTGCAGCTGACAACAAAACGGAGCCGTTTGCACCTCTCTTTTCTTCTTCTTCTTTTCTAGTCATGTAAAGCTGTAAGTCTTTCTCTTTATTCATCTTCAAGTCCGTCCGGAATCATCCCCATCCTTAACGAACCAAGGCCGAGAACATGGCAGAGGCCACGGGCACCACAGGCACTGTGGTTGCGCAGATGATGCTCTCAGAAGAATACTGCGACTTGACGTTCTCCTGCAACGGAGAAGCGTTCAAAGTTCACAGGGCGGTTGTCTGCCCCCAGTTGTCTGTCATTCAAGCCGCCGTGCGCTCCGGCTTTTGGGGAGCCTAGGACAACACGATTAACATGGACGCCTTCGCCCCCGAGTCGGTGCGACGGTTCAGGCAGTTCATGTACACCCAGGATTACGACATGGGAGAAATCGAAGTCAAACGAGCAGAGGGTGCTAAGAAATCAGATGAGGCCAAGAAAGCAGATAAAGGAGCAAAGGCGGCAAGCGGCGACTCTACACCAGCACAGGGCGCCGAACCGTCCTCGGCAGGCAAGAAAGAAGTTGAGTCTGAGCACCACGAGAACCATCCCGGGCTTCAAGACCCCGTCTTGCAGACCATACTGGCGCATACCCGCATGAACGCCATGGGCGACTACGACGTCCCGTCGCTCGTCGCCCTCGCCAACGTGCGCGTCGCCGCAACCATGGCCGCCGCCTCGCCCGACGCGCCCTGGATCGCCGGCTTGCCCGCCGTCGCCGAGGTCGCCCTCGGGATCGTCGACAGCGCCGGGATCGTCGACGCACTGACCGGCACCATATCCGAGAACCTAGCAGCGCTACTCGCCGTCGGCGCGCTCGAGGCGTCGCCACTCGTGACGCCGTTTTGCCTCACGCTGCTGAGGCCCTGCAACGCAACGAACCAGGCGTTGGCGGAGCATCTGGCGTACAGGTCGAAGACGCTCAAGGAGGTGGGCAAGAAGTATACGGAGGCGGCGGAGCAGGTGGTGCAGCAGAGGAAGGCGGTGTCGGCGCTGAGCACGGCAAGGAAGTGCCGGGCGGTGGGATGCGCTGGGCGCTTCGACTGCTACTTCGCGGAGGGCACCAGCAGGCTGCGTTGTCGTCTGTGTCACTCAAAGCATTGACATTGGTGAGGGATCTCCAGTTTGAGAAAGGGGAACCCAATTGAGCACAGGCTTACAAAGTCGAGCACGACCATGCCTTAGCCATGTATGTTTGCAAATGGAGGAACCATAATTGCCTGGAACCCAAGGCCACAATTTATCCAATTTCACAACTTTTAACTCATAATCAAACTATGTACAGACGCACTACTGTCCTAGTGGTTGTGAGTGCAGCACGTCTCGCCCATGGCCTCCCTCGCGAGCTTCGCGCGGGTCATCGGGCGGGCGGCGGGCAGCAGATCGCGTCCCGACAGATCCGGCAGGACCGCCTCGGCGTCATTGACGTCGCGCTTGGCAATCTTGCTGCTGTAGATGCTGTTGAGCCAGTTGCCAAGCCTGTACCCGCCCTTTGCGATCTGCAGCTCGACCGTGCCGATGACCGAGTTGTAGTAGTCCGGGTAGAGGTCGCCCTGCTGCAGCGCGTCCGCGCCCTGCGGCATCACCACCGAGCACACGTACGCGTTGGCGTCGGATGCCCAGCGCGTCGCCGACGTAATCGGGTCCGCCACGCTGTCGCCCTTGATCCAGCCGGCCGCCTGGCCCTGGAGCGCGCCCGTCTCGATCTCCTGCACCAGCGCGGCGGCCCAACCCTGCGCGTCGGTCAGCTTGCCGCCGCCAAGCTTCTTCTGCGGGATGTACGTGTCCCAGTCGGCGTGCAGGTTGTCCGAGTAGCCGTCAAAGGTGACCTTGATGTCGTTGCCGCCGACCTGGTAGGCCTCGTCGTGCAGCGGCTGGGTGACGTCGCCGAGGAAGTGCACGAGAAACTTGAGCGCCTCGTCGTGGTGCGCGACGCTGAGGCGGCCGTCGGACACGCGTTGCGTGTAGTTGGCGATGGCGGAGATGGAGCACCCGCTGCTGCCGCAGTCGCGCTGGTAGTCGACGTTGCAAGATGAGGGAGGGTTGTCCTCGGCGTCGATGAAATGCAGCGGCGCGGACCACTTGCCGGCCGTGGTGGCACGGTACTGGTCTGCCCACGAGGCAATGTTGGCGAGGTACGAGTCGGAGGTGTCTCCGAGGACGCCCTGGGCCCTGTTCGAGAGAGGCGGGTTAGTTGATAGGGGTTCGGTTTGTTTTGGGCCGGCTTCGGAGCTCACCAGGCGGCAGTGTCGTTGGTCAGGTAGTTCTGGGCAATGTAAGCGACCGTGGCATGGCCCAAGACACCCCAAGCCTGAGCGCCCTGCAAGGCAGTGGCCGCGACGGCGGCGGTTCGGAAGAAAGAGACCATGGCGGTGTGGGGAGGGGAGAGACAGCAATGGGTTGCACTCGTCAAGTCAGGATGAACGACCTAGGTAGACTGTATCGGATCTGCAGATCGAGATGTAGCTCGAGATGGCGTCTTGGCAGCAAGTCTCAAAAGGCAGTTCAGCCTCGAGACAACACACCCTGATGGACAAGCCCTCTTTATATAAAAAGAGAGGGATCCGAGCTGGCTGAGCAAATCGTGGTTCGATAGGACGAAGCTAAAATGCTTGCCTAGCTCATTTCCATGTCAGGTGTGATGAGCTTGAAACATGCAGTTGGATCAATCTGCACGCCTAGCAAGGTTGTCAAGTCCGTCTAAACTCAGCCGTCATCGGGTAGCTGCTGCAGATGGACGGCCAACCCCCGAGGAAGCTTGGCACTTGGCACCGGACGCCAGTCGCCTTGCCTCGGCAACTTGAGCTTCCGTGAGGCCCTTTGTGCCGCGTCCAGACCATCCAGCTGAGTCCCCTCGTGATAGCCCACCACCCAAAAGCATTGACCGAGAGAGTGAATTTTGTCGAAAGGTCCGCAGCTGCCCAGTGAACATCGATAGCTTCTTGATAACTACCAAGTCCGAGGGTCCCATCGGGGGCGGAGCCGGGTCCGGGTCCTACCCTATCACCATCGCCAAGAGGACCGTGTGCCGTGAAGCCCGTCAGCAACTCCACAACGGCGTACTGAAGCGCTCTGCCGAATCTCGTTTGGCGGATCTTGAGGACCTTCTGGAAAAGGAAATGTCCACCGACGGCATGATGAAGATCTTGGAGGCTGAGCGCTGGCCCGCTTAACTCGGCACTTGATGAGATGTGGTGGTGTGCGAGTGCGTGTATGTGTGTGCTGGTCGAGGAGGAGGTTTGCGGTCAGCAGCTTCATCGTGATTATATGCCTTGCAATACCACGGCAACATTCTCCTTTACAATGATCAGAGAGTATTCCCAAGTACACTTATGAGCCATATATGCTTAGCCACAGCGGCGGTGTTATAAATAGAAGAAGTTGGCACATTCCCGTGCAAAGCCCGTACTGGGACAGGCCCGCGAGGTTACAGCGGATGCTACAGTGGATGTCCCAGTGAAGAAGCCCCCCTTCAGGGCCATCACAAGTGTCACCAGAATGGCAGACAAGATAATTGTAACTTGTTTTCGGTAAATATATAATACTTTATCATAAAAAAAATAACATTGGAGCATACCGGAACATACTGCCGATCCGACCGGATATTTATAGCTGGCCAAAGTACTTCAACATCTTGTCATATATGGGCGTACCAAGACCAGTGACGGGATCCCAACCGGGAGAGGCGACGAAGCCCTTGTGAGTACCGCAGGCGTCAACTACGTGGTTCTGGTCTCCCGTGACGATGTCGGTAAAGACACCGCTGGCAACGCCCTTGTAGAGGGCCGGGTTGAGGAAGCCCAGCGGCTTCTTGCCGGCGTTGAGACGCTCCTCGTTGATTCGGGTGATGATGGAGGCGAAGATCGGGCAGGACATGGACGTGCCGCCGTTGAGGAACATCCTGCCGTTCGTGACCACCACGCCGTTGTCGCCGACCGCGGAGACGTCCGGGTACCCGCGGCCGCCGCGGTTGTAGATGCCCTGGCCCGCCGTGGTCGGGATCTTGCCGTCGGTGGTGTTGTACGACTTGTAGTCGGGGACGTACTTGGCCAGGTAGGTCGCCACGAAGTCATTTTGGTAGTCCGGGCGGGGGAAGATGTTGCTGAAGCCGCCGCCGGAGGCGAAGGACTCGGTGGCGACCTCGACGTCGCCGACCTTGCCGCCCTTGGGCAGGTAGGTCGAGCCGACGGTGGTGACCCAGGGGCAGGAGCAGGCCTGGTCCGGGACGAAGATGTCGTGGTTCGGGCCGAGGCACGCGCCGTCCTCGACCCCGTTGTCGCCGCTGGCGATGATGACCGAGGTGCCGGCCAGGCCGAACTTCATCCACTCGGTGCATTGGCGCTTCAGGTGCGCGACGTCGTTGGGGTCCTCCGTGCCGCCCCAGGAGATGGACACGGCGTTGGGCTGCTTGAGATCGTTGCACTCGATCTGGCTGTTGCCGTCGTCGCCGTTGTCCTTGCAGTAGGGACCGACGAAGGCGTCCACAAAGGTGTCAAAATTGTCCTTGCCAACGTCGCCCATCTGATACAGGCTAGTCTTTTGCGGGTATATGATGGGAATGGCCATGTCGAAGTCGAGCGTCGACTCGCCACCGGATTCGCCGGGGTTTGCGGGTGCATTTGCGCCGTTCAAGTTGTGGACGATGGGACCGGTGCCTTTGGGGATGCTGGGGGTCATGGCAGCAAAGAACTGGTCGAGATCTTCCTGCGCATAGTCGTCTCCCTCTTCCTCATACATGGCGAGATCGTTTCCATCTTTGCCCGATGTGGCAGCAGGGATGCCATACTGGGCAGCGATGCACTTGGGCGTCATGTTGACATCGCAGGTGTCCAGGCTGTCTGAAATGCGGCGTCAGTCTTGTTGGTTCAGCATTGAAAAGAACTTCAGGCTATGCCTGATTGAGTTGAGTAAGATACGTACTGGGATCAATGGTGTCCTTGGGGCCTGTGACGAGAGGAGCCTTTGTGCGCTTCCTCATTTGGGAGAAACCCGTGGCTGGGTGCACGAAGTCGACAAGGGAGGACACATCCTGAGGAAGGCTGTAAGATTCCGCACCCAAGAAGGTCCTCGAGCCATCAGCGGTAGTGTAATGGTGATACTCGGTCTTGAGGAACGAGCCCAGCTGGCTAGCGGTGGTGTTGAAGTGAATCCAACCCTTGCTGTTGGAAACCTTGATGGAACCAGCTGGTACACCGGAGGCCGTGAGCCATGACTTGACACTGTTGATGGATTCCTCGCTGGGAGCGAAGAGGTTCGCAATATCCCCAGCGGCCAGATGCTGACCGTATTTGGGTGATCCAGGCTCAGAGCTAAAAGGTTCCAATTAGCCGTGAGGTTTCCATGCGACCAAGCAGAGAGGCGACGTACATCTCTAGAAGGAGCTTTTCAGCCTTTTCTATGTTCTGCTGCTTGAGCGCAATACGGGCTGGCACAAAAGCAGAGCCAGTGGCGGCCTGGCCCTTTGTGTATTGTGCATGAAGCGAAATGCGTTGGTCGTGCAGCTTGTAGTTGGCCGCGGGCACGGCAAAAGCAGCGGGGAGGAAGCCTCCGGCGATGAGAGCGGTGATGCGCATAGCGATAGCTCACAAAAGTCGAACTTGGATAGAAGCTGAGGTCCTGCATAATCATCAATAATTACAGAGATACAGCTCTTTTTATATGTAGAATATCCCCTCATCGTTATGGACCAAGACCACCAATGAACCAAGACCGAACCAGCATCTTCTTTACAACACGAAGCATCTCTTGGTTGCATAGCCACATTAGGCAGCCCATAAATAGATGGTAGTCAAAACCTTCGCAATGCCCTCCGACCCTTGTAAGTCGCCCTTATCTCAAAGTCGCATTGCATTTCTACGGGTGAACACTTTCCTACCCAAGTCTCGCGTGGAAATAATACCGTTACAACGGGTAGGATACGCGACCATACAGGTGTCGAGCTACGCCTAAGTAGGCCAATCCAGAAGAAAGCCGAGCCTTGTAATAGTAGCCGCTGTTTTATCCGTCGGAGATAATTCCCGCCCATGAGCGTGGGAAAGGCCCGAAAACCCTAGCAGCACGTAGACAAGACCTTCCCATTTAAGCAGGAGAACAATGAGGGCGCAAATATGCACAAGATGCAAGCGGATAAACGGCACAATTTTTTTCTTTATTCAGAAAGACTGCTCCGACTTGCCAAAAGGGGTGTCCTCTACCCCGAACGGAGTCCTGCCTTCGGGTCAGATCCGGGGTAGGGCTGCCCGGAGCCCCGTGTAGTCGGCGGTCGATCCGGCGGCATGGCGGCACCCAGTTACGGCGGGTCGCCTTCTCATATCTGTGCATCTGGAATAATTCGAGCCTGTCAGCGTCTTCAATTTCGAGTTTAGGACGGGCAAGTAGGCATCATTAAATGGAATTCGACGGACGGGCCCGTCATACCCTGGACATGCTTGAACGTGGAGAGATGCCTGTCCTGCTTGGCAGATTCATGCGCGATCATGTCAAACCCAATTGGAAGTACGGAAAGGATCAAAATGGGCAAGGAAAACGTAGTTCATCTTGACTGTGATGCTACGAAGCTGTGCGGAACGGAAGTTGAAGTAAAGCTCGCACATTTCCACGAGCTTACGCCATGGCGGAGATCACATGTTGCTAAATATCTCAAAGCTTTCTAGATGCACGCAAGAGAAAATTATGGCATAAACACCACAACACAGTGATCGTGTCTCTATATCACAAATAGAAATGTTTTGGTCTGCATAACGTGAGCAGCTTGCAAGGAGGTAGAGACGACAGTGTAGTGGGTAGTTATTCAGAAAATGGGCTTACATGCGGGTTCAATCCTTAGCGAGTAGACGTGATAATGGGACAAACATGTCGTTGTATTTACTTTTTTTTTTCAATGTAAATGCATTTATGAAAATCAAGCGGCTTTATATATGCATGCAAGAATGTGAATGTGAATCAACTATTTGTGCTTGCCAATAGCTCTCATTTTCGCGCCAAACAGCCACAGGACAATTGGCGCTGGCGCAGCCAGGACCAGGAACGCGAAGCCCAAGACGTTGTTGCCCCAGCCGTAGCCCAGGTTCTGGTACAGCGATGGCGCAAAGAGCGGAAAAGCAAAGCCGGTGATGCTGCGCAGGAACTGCGAGGCCGCCGAGGCGGATGCGACGTGGCCAAGGTACGACTCCGTGACGTAGGCTTGCATCGCCTGAGTGCTGAGGATGATGCCGCAGCCAAAGATAGCGATGCCGATATCAGGTACGACCCAGAATACGCGGTACTGGGCCGTCCATCCGTATACAAAGATTCCGATGAGGACTAGAACGGCGCCAGGTGCCATCAGCGGCACGCGGTATTCGGGGGCCGTCTTGTTTCCACCCGCGCGCTTCTTCAAGTACGCCCAGATTTTGTCCATGAACCAGGCTCCCACTTGCGCAGCAACTGTGTAGCCAATGACCAATGCGATGTAGTGCAGACCACTCTGCAGCTTGCTCTGCTGGTAACGGTCAATCCATAGCGTCGCAAAGGTTGCCAGGACAATGTACAGCAGGCCAAAGTTGTAGGCGAGAAGGATGCCCATGAGTTGGATGGTGGGGTGTGTAAAGAGCAAACGAAATGGGCGTGTCAGAGATACCGAAAGCCTTGCGGAAAGCTTCTCGTGGCTTTCGCTGGTGTAGTAGGCCTGGCCAGTCTCCTTGCGCAGCTTCTTTGCCTTCTTCTCCAGCAGGATGACCTTGTATGTTTCGGGGAGCAGGAAGAAGCCGGCGATGACGAGAAGACCGTCGTAAATGGACAGAATGTAGAAGATCCATCGCCAACCAATCGTCTGCGTCACGGCACCGCCGATGATGGGCCCCAGAGCAGGACCCAGGAGAGGCAGAAAGGTTGAGATTGCATACGACTTGCCGCGCTGCTCAGGCGTCCAGATGTCGGCCAGCACGGGGTTGCTGACTGCAAACTCGGCACTGGCGCCGATGCCAGACATAATGCGACAGAGGATGAGCACTCCAGAGGATTTACTGAACCCGGCCGCCGTGTTCCATGCGATGTAGTAGCACGCGCAGATGAGCCAGACCGGTCGTCGACCAAACACCTCGGTGCACGGTGCCAAGACCATCGGGCCGAATGCGAAGGCAAGAACGTAGATAGATAGGAATATCTGAGCACTATTTTCGCTGGTGTTGAAGTCGTGTGCGATGTCTTGGAGTGCGGGTGCCAGCATGGCACCGGACATGAGGGTGACGAGGCCGCCAAACGAGAGGAGGAGCGTGATGGCCCATTTCAGAGGCGTTTTCCAGTTGTACGGGTGGTCGGGGTCATCGTCACCGTTCCAGGTCACCTATTACCATCAAGTTAGCACATTGAAGAGTTCAGCGGTTGCAGAGTTCCATAAATCTTGTTCCAAGACTTACAAGTAGAGTATCAGGTTGCGGCTCGGTCGTCTCTTCACGAGGTTCGTTGGTCTGTTCCACCTCAGGAACAGCTGCTGACCCGGCTTCCGTCGTGGAAGAACCGGCGGCTCGCTCAACATGATCCATTAGGGTTGCCTTTCCGACTTGTTGGTTGCTCGCATTCAGGTTAGTCGCTAGTTTACAACAAAGTGCAGCTTGGAGGGCTGTCGTGTTTGTAGAGACAGTCTCCAGCGAGGAAGCGCAAAGAACCCGAAGGATTTAAAACGAAGATGGAAGAACATCAAGAGAGATGGAATTGGCGGGATCATGTACAATCAGGAAATAGAACGGCTTCCGTCGTGTAGTACCTGACAATTTGGCTGGATGCAGGGCAAACCGAGGGCTCGGCTACAGTGCGGAATCATATTCATACTTTGACCGTCACAGATTTTGGTGTTGACGCGCACAGTGCGAACCGGCTTCGGATTCCGACGCTAGGTGCGAGTGACGAACCGCAGTGTAAAGAGCAGCCACGCAGGCCGGCTGCCGACTTCTGGGCGCTGACATGCGGTGAAGGAGGGGAAAGTATCCGTAAACACGTTCATTCATTACACAATTACCTACTTGTTTCACTACAGCTGGCAGGTTTTTCGCACCGAGATGCATGAAGCCCCAATATCGATCCTGCGGTACGTGCCCGGCGCCGCGCGCTAAATCAAAATACCACCATCCTGTCTATTCTTCAGCGGCCCGCAGCCAGTCAAAGGTATCCATCAGCTCAAAACTAAAGTCTGGCTGATCGCTCAGGTCCCATACGGGGAAGGTCGGCAGAGCGTCCTCGGGACTCGTGTTCAGGCACTGGTCGAGCACCTGCTGGATGATGGCCTTGCAGTTGGCGCACAGCTTCGCGTTCGGCATCGACGGCCGAACCCAGTCAAAGAAGCCGACGAGCAGGCTGAGCTGCTGAATGACGGTGGCACGGCCGATGTTCGGATCCTTGCTGTGCTCGCCCGCCCCCAGCACCTCTTGGCATAATATGCCGGCGGCAGGCGCGCCGTACGAAAGCATCTGATGCATGGTGTCAGCGTGAAAATGAAAAGGTCCATACATTAAACGAGTTGATCGCGCCTTTTACTTACAATCCACTCAAAGCTGCGCGCCACAACGGCCCCCGCGAATTGATCCTTATGAATCCAAAGGTGGAGGGCCAAGACCGCTAGCCCAAGGCTCGTCTCAAGCAAGTTATCCCGAATGGCATACCCGCAACGGATTAGGAGCCTGTCGATGAAGAAGAGGTTTTGGAGATGTTCGAGCTGGGTGATAATCTTCATGTAGAGACCGTGTATGTCTACATGGGGAGCTTCGAGGTCTTGCGGATCGTACCTGAGGCTGACTGGAAACTCGGATACCAAGGTGTATTGACGATCTTTGAGATCCCTACTGACAGCATTAGCATTGACATGATCGGGTCACGAACGGAAGCACGCTTCATAGACAACCGTACATGAGATATTCTAGACTCGGATTGCGACCGTTACTCATGGTCAATTCAATAACCTCGTCTCGAATTAACGCCATCATGGTACGGGCTCGCACCACGGTCGCCGAATACAAACCGCCCTCTGTATTCCAACCTCGTTCGTCGAGAGAGTTGATGGCGTTGGCGAGGGTAGTGGATCCGGCGATGAGGTCTTCGTCGCGAAGATCAAGCGGCAGCGGCGCCGTGTAGTAGCGATGGCTGATGAGGGGGGGCCGCCCCGTAAGCATGACTCCGAGTTTATCGAATACAAAAGTGCCGGCCGCCATTCGCCGATTATTCTCTGACCATGCGGTCGGGGTATACTGGGAGGTATTCTCCTGAGCGTGCAAGCCGAGAAAGACCATATACGCTACATTTGCGCCGTGGGCCTCCCACATCGGCAATCCTAATGATGCCCACACGTAAATAACTGAAGCAAGGGGAGAGGGAGATGGGAAGGGGGAGGGAGATGGCAGCTGAACTGCGGTTCTCACCTGATTCACCGTCCACCATGGATACGAGAATCGATCTTCGACGATATAGCTCGGCTAATAAATCACTCTCCTCCGTAAATTGACGCGCGAGTCGGATGCAGCTGTCCACATGATACTTGGCTATTTGGTCTGATTTACAGTTTTCTGAGCGGACCAGCTTCCTTGGAATGAGGGCATCCAGGATATCTGAAATGCTCTCCATATGAGTCCAGAGGTAGCCTATGGACTCCCATCTCGTATTGGCGCCGACGAAGCAGTTCAACCACGACTCCCAGTCGGGGAACGGACCACGAAGCGGCCTTGACGTGTTGGTGGATATGACTTCTGCTACGCGCTCGAGGGTTTCCTGCTCGCCCCGTCCCGGGACCTCGGCGAGCACGGCCTGCAGCCAGCGGACGATGCGATGCGCGGCGAGATGGAGCCAGCCCTTGGCCTGGAAGTCACCGTCGATGTAGGTCATCTGGGCGTCGCGTTGGCCGGGGAGAGCGCGGAGGACGGCCATGCATGTCTCACGCACGGGGAGTGGAAGCTCGGCGAAGATGACGCGACGGTCCTGCTCCGGCTGGATGGTGGGGGAGAAGTGGCCGTAGAGGTTGGTGTGCAAGGTGCCGAAGAGCAGCTCTGGACGTGCCTCGTCGAAGGCCGAGTTGTAGCCGATGCTGGTGTTGGGGCGCGGCCGCTTGGACGGGCGGTACGAGTTGTGCTGCTGCGAAGGCAGCGACGAGGAGAGGGCCGAGGCGGTGGCGACGATGGAGGGGGCGACGGCGGACTGGGCATCGCTCGGGGAGGGCAGGAGGGTGGTGTCGGGGCCGGGGCCGGGGCCGGGGAGGACGGTGCCGTTGCTGACGTTCTTGACGCGGCGCGCGGCGTTGGCAGAGTAGAAGCACTCGCTCCCCCTATTCTTGGAGCGGCAGCGGGAGCAGGATGGGCGGGCGTGGTCGCACGCCACCTTGCGCGCGCGGCAGGGATCGCAGGCGGCCTGGCTGCCGTTTGGCCGGAGCTGTTGCGCGACCCGAGGCGCGGGCGGATACGGCATAGTCCTTGTCCGAGATCGAAGGCGAGAGGGAGGGCGAGATCTCTGGTAAAAATGGGCGGGTGGTGGTCTCCGGGTTGCTATTTTGCTGTATAATGTTGCGCAAAGCCTCGGCGGCTGCAAGACCGGGGGGGGGTTGGTGGTTGGTGGTGTTGGCGGGTTAAGCATTGTCAGAGGGAAGCTCTCTACGCCTTGTGGAGTCGCCGCGCCGCCGCTAAACCGCCTATCACCCCTAAAAATGTGGTGGACAAAGACCAAGACAATTTGGATGATGTCGCGGCGTTGCATGGCAAAAACCTTTTTGTATCTGAATGAGCCACGGGGAAATTCTCTTTCTCACGCTTAGCACTAAGCGCAAATAACAATTACTTTCTCTTTCTTTCTTTCTTCTTCTCCTTTCTTTTTTTTTTCTTCTCTTTTCTTCTTTTTTTTTTTCTTCTTTTTTTTCTTTTTTTTTACGTTTTTCAATCTACAATGGGGCGGCGCAGCTTGGTCGCAAGTTATCATTGTATTAATGAGAGTATGTAGCTAATAACTAACATGCTGGGCCTCGTGTTCTGAACAGATCAGACTGAGACAGTGCAAGACGCGCTTCCCCAATTGCACGTGGATCAGCACCAGACCGCCACTGGCCTTTGGAGAGCAGCGCGTCTGGACGATGCCAGGAAGAAGCTCTGGCTGAAGCTGCCGCGGGCTGATTTAGTCAACAACGTAGTTGGTGGCGGCATCAGCATCGGACCTCTTGTCAACCACGTATTTGGTGGCGGCGTCGGCATCGGACCTCTTGTCAACAACGTACTTGGTCGCAGCGTCGGCATCAGAGCGCTTATCGACGACATACTTGGTGGCGGCGTCGGCGTCGGATCTCTTGTCAACGACATACTTGGTGGCGGCATCTGCGTCGGACCTCTTGTCGACGACATACTTGGTCGCAGCGTCGGCATCAGAGCGCTTATCGACGACATACTTCGTCGCGGCATCCGCATCGGAGCGCTTGTCCACAACATACTTGGTGGCGGCATCGGCGTCGGAACGTTTATCAACGACATACTTGGTGGCGGCATCGGCGTCGGAGCGCTTATCGACCACGTATTTGGTAGCGGCATCAGCGTCGGAGCGCTTATCCACCACGTACTTGGTGGCCGCATCAGCATCAGATCGGATGAAGACTATCGGCGAGTCAGTAACAGGGATGGGGCATGTTGATTGTGGGTTTCAACGAACCGGGCGAGGCCACGGCGGTGGCGGCGATGACGCTAATGACAAAGCTAGATCGGAAATGCATCTTGGCAGTTGGTAGGGGTTGGGTTGGGTTGGTTTGTGGGAAAAGCTTTTTTTGGTTGAGTGTTGGTTTGTTCAAGTGTGCGTTGCAATGAGAAGGCACTGTGTTGTGTGGGCTGTCTGTCAATCGACCGACTATATAGTATCGAACCACGGAAATAGCATCGGTCAATTCGAAGATCTGACGGCATTTCGCAGGAAGCCACACCGAGGATGAGCAAGGAGGCTGCAAAAGTGACCAACTGTCATGTCCGCCATCTTCAACTTGTCATCGAGATCTCCCAAGGACCACCACATCTTGTCAGTCGTACAGATCACGACCTCTCCGTCTCTGTCTTTCAACTCACTGACCAATCACAGCAAAACAAGCAAAGATATCCATGAGATGCATGGGATCTCTGCTCAGGTCTTTCGCCAAATCGGGAAGTTCGCACATCGTCGCATCGTCGCGCTGTCGTGGCCGTGATGCGCCGTGTCATACACACCCGGCACTTCCCACTGTGACACTGGCAGTGACTCTACCTCTTCATGAGAAGGCAATTGCTACGGTGGCAGTAGAAGACCATCATCAGACTTTCAAAGCGCAAAGCTGACGATGTTGATTCGAGATGGCGAACCATAGCCACGAGTGGCGCAGCTGTCACATCTCTCTAAGGACACACCCTACACGCAGTGACAGCCTGGTGTCACCCTTCTGACCTTGCAGCTGCGATCGTCTTCAGCTATGACAGGGCGGGAAGCTGAGGGTAGATTTCAGATGCATGACATCCAAAAAGGAAAAAAAAGGTATTATTGTGTCAGTCCGAGAGCCGCAGTACCGGCATGGCGTGGAGTCGCTCCGGACATACGCCTTGAACCATGGATTGACCCGCGGCTGCCAGGCACCCCGGACCTCCGCACTGGACGGTTCATCATCTTTCTTCAAACAACAGATGCAAAACACTTTACCGATTCAGAATCATCAGTTCCTAAAGCCCTGACTTTGGTGGAAAAGGCCTCTGATCAAGCAAGCAAGCAAGCCCCAATGAAGTCTGAAGACGCAGGCACGCGTGCGTCCTCGCCGACCATCACGGAGGAGCAGGACTGGAACGCAAAGGACTCTGATGGCCTGCTAAAGTCAAAAGAGAATCATGAGAGCGAAGATGGAAAGCCAACTCACTTTTTGCAGAGGAAAATCCCTGTCAAACTCCACCTGATAATTTTCAGCTTCTGCGTCTTGTCTCTGCTGGGCATGGCGGCCCTGCTCGCTAGGAGCTGGCGAGGAGGCACGAAGAAGCCATTTCTCTATTGTGAGTCAATCGACCAATTAAGAGTTGAATAGAACATTGTTCTAAGGAAAGGTAAATCCCAGCGCCCGCGAACGAAGCCGTCGAGTACTACATCGGGGAGTTCTCGGACGGCAACGATCCTCACGGCATGTACGTCGGGGAGCCTCGACCGTCGCTGGAGAAGGCGTGGCAAGACTTGCTAGGCCGTGAGTAGAGTGGCGAGCTCTTTTGTTTTGGAAAGGGACGATGCTAAGATCTGGCAGCGATGAATGTCCGGCTGTCGTTGCAGGACGTCCAGGCGTTTGGGCGTGAGGCGACGGCAGTTGGGATGTCGGATGGCAGCGGCTACATCGGCACGCTGAATGTGTATCACGAGCTGCACTGCGTGGTAAGAGGACATTATCCATATTCATGTGCTGCGTTTTTTGTCCAACATTCTGACATTTCTTTTCTGTCTCTTTTTTAGCGGTGGCTTCACAAATACGTCTACCAAGAGCACTACTGGCCGGGGTTGGATGACGAGCAGCGGAGAAAGAACAGAATCCACAGCAGTAAGTGAAGATGTTATCGACAAAAGAGAACCATGGCCAGAAAGACGAGAAAAGAAAACGAAGAGAAGGGAGAAGAAAGCTAATCATGGAGCCACGACAGACCACTGCCTGGGTACCCTCAAAAGCTTTGCCATGTGCCACGGCGACGTCGGCATGGTCATTTACAGCTGGCAAAAGGACGTGCTCAAGCCCGGCGCCAACGGTACGGGCCACACGTGCGTCAACTGGGACAAGATCTCGAAGTGGACCGAGGAACGAACCGTCAACATGTACGAGCCGGGTTTGATCATCCACCCGCAGCTTGGTGAGTTCGGCAGATTCCTGAAACAAGGCCCGCCGGTCGATGTTGCCGGAGAACAATGCCCGGACAAACTAACCCTAAAATCTTTAGGGCCGGCATATGCCGAAGAAGAGAATAGCAATGAGGAGCACATCTATGGCGCGCTGCACAGCCATGGAGGAAGCCCGTAAGACGGGCCGCCGCATATGTGGGAACGCCGGTGACTGAGGGCCGAGAACCGGCGCTGAGGAGAAGGCCATCGGAGCATTTTGGGAACTCGGTAGCCAATATAGTCTGACCCCGGTTCATAGCATCCCCATGTGCTTAATAAGGGCCAGTCCCAATAATATAAGTTTAGTTTAGTTTTGCAGGGGTATTCAACGCCTTGCTCGTATCCGCACGTAAGACGTACGTATAGAGGTGAACTACGTAGAAGGCTTGTTAAAATGAAAGCGGGGAGGCAAGTCAAGCCTTGTGCTTGGAATCTAGATGGAAAATGAAACCTGTGAGATGGTACCTCTCCAATCTCGCTCTTCCCAAGGTCTGGAAGGGGGCCATACTTGACGCCTTTTGCAGGGTCGCACATCATCAGCAGCCATGTGGCGAGAAACGACGCACGCGACGAAAAATGGCAGCAGCCAGGCAGGCTGACTGCATCTTTTGTTTACGGAATGAGCACACACACGTACATACATACTGGGGGTCGCACTGCAGGGTCCCCCTCTCTCCACCATGTTCAACAGGGTTTCTCCATGAGCTGAACGAACAAAAAGGTCAGACAGAGCAAGTACGCTTCCCGACATCATTCTTGCTTGCTTTTCTTCTCGGAGAAAAGGCTGGAGAGACAATGAATCTGCGAGGCGTGGAGGACCCCCTCCGGGGAACTCGGAAAGACCTGTTCTTGGAAGGGTGTGAGTCAGGATCGGACCGCATATCCGTCGCCGGTAGTTGGGACGACTGGGGCCTCCTCGTCTGTATTTGCCTGCCGAAGAAGGTTCGTTGTTGCTTCTTCTAATTTTGGCTTGTTTTTATTGGCCGCTGAGGCTTACAAACTGCCGATCGTGCAGTAAACACGCGACAAGGCTCGGGTCGCAAAGTTTCCATTACACACACAGAACAAGAACACTTGGCTTCCCTTGCGTTGCGGTATCACGAACAAGCCGGATGACGTTTTGCGACCTTTTCTCTTCACACCCCTTCTCTTGCAATTTTGTTACTATCGGGATGCGCTTATTGATTCTATCGCATGCATACAACCTCGCACGAACAGCGGGGTAGTTTCTTCGCCTGTGACGAGAACTGTGGGAGGGAACTGTGGGAGGGAACTGTGGGAGGGAATTGTACGCCCAGCCCCAGCTGTCACTCAGCCCTCCATCCCGGACACATGTTCGTCGCCTTCTGTCTTGTTTACGAGGCGGAGGATAGGAGCTGAAGAAGTGACAATGCCGACAAGCATGATGTATTGGAGTCCCTAAGCCACGAAGGCTGATGCGTTGCCATTCCAGGCCCGTGTATGTATGTGTGTGTGTCCCTGTGTGCGTCTATATGCAGCTATAGCTTATCTACCGGCGTGGCTTGTCCGTGCCATCATCACTATCTGATCATGGAAGGGAATGCGGAGAAAGCTTGAGCTTGTGCTTGTGCAATGACCCCGGCCCCTCTAGTATGAACGAAGGAACGAAGGATTCCTTCTATTTGGTCTGTCAGTGGGGAGACTTGACGCAAGTAGCCCAGTCTTTATTATCGTCACCAAACACAGTATAACCCCGAATGCAATTCTCATCAGATTACGCCAAGTTGTACCAAGCCAATCTTAGGCACAAAAAGATAAAATGTGATAGAAGCGGCCTCGGCCTCTTCGGCCAGCGCCACGGACATACAGGACTATGCGCAGCTCGACTCCGAGATGTCCACAAGCGATCCTTTTGGTATTCGCACTTCTCGCCTCTTGCGCAACATAGGCTGTGTAAACACGCGAGGTGGTCAACGAACCAGGACGGTTGTACGGCCCATCCTTGCCTTCCCCCAATCATTGTCCCCTCCACACAGTACACAAACTTCTTCTTTCTGTCTCTCGTCCCATCTCAGCAGCCGGTAGCCAAGAGTGCCCGATCCGAAGGGATGCATATGAGCCCAGGCCTGGATGACTTGCACAACCCGCCCCTTTGAGTGGCCACCGCAACTCGGCCCAGCCAGCCTCAAAGCAAGCCGGCACTGCGGGGTTCCTGACGTGTGGTTCGAATCAGATTTACGAACGAGGCCTCTCTCCCCTCCACCCCTCCCCGAAAGGGCGGCTGCGATTATCTCACTAAGGAGGGCCGCCGCCACTGTAGTTCCGGCCCGGACTCGCGCGCTGGATCCCTGGAGAAGGGGAAGAATTAAGAATATAGTATCCGGGGTTCCGAACCGTGACAGTCTAGGCCTGGCCCGGCGTACCTAAAAAAAAAAGAGAGCCTACTGCTTTTACGGACTGCGCACGTGTTGCTGATTTTGCCTTTTTTTTTATCTGATCTGTCTGTTCGCTGCCGTTATGTCATTATGCATAGCACGGACATGACGGATGCGGCTGCCAAACTTGAAGAGCAACGAAGACGAAACAGACTCGCCCAGCGAAGACGCCGAGAGAGTAAGTTTTTAATGCCTGGGCTCTGGTGGACTCGTCCAACGAGACAATTCATTACGGGATCGAGAGGTCTAAATGAAGACGGGTGAATAATAGGACAACGCAACCGGACCGCCAGCATCAACTCCATCGGCAACGACGCCCTGCCGACGCTCCTGGCCGAGGACCAGGACCAGCAATCTTCAGACAAGACGTGGGAGTTTGCGGTTGACACCACCTTCTTCGACCCTGCGCTGGATGAACAGGATGAGATCGCGGACCACTGTCTTCCCAGCACGCCTCCGCTCAGCGCCGTCGCCGAGGTGCACCACGCTGCGGGGGGACACGCCGACACCGCGGACCCGGCGAGGCTGGGAGTTGGGCCCGAGTCCATCGTCAAGGGTCTCCTGGACGGGCGGATGGTGTCCGCCGCCGACGCGGGCACGTCTGCGAGTCTGGGGAGTGCCTCGCCCAGTCCGCTGCATCAGTTTCTGATGACGCTCCAAAAGGGAGACGGAGGTAAGCCGCCCGGTGCCTAAGGAAAGACATGATGAAGCTGACACCCCATTACTCCAGAATTATCGCAGGATTCGTACAGTCGACTGCTGGCCATGATCCCGCAGACGCAGCAGCAGCACCAGCGCTACGACAGCGGCCCGGCGGCGGCGGCGGCGGCGGCGTGTAAACTTCAACAGCCGCTGCACGGGCCCGACTTCATGCAGCAGCTGGGTAACGAAGCACCCACCGTCTGCTTCAGCACGGCCGGCGGGTACTCCGAGGCGAGCGGAAGCGGGATCCTGTCGTGGACCCGCTCCGAGTCGCGTCCGCCGACCGCCACCACCAGCCGGAGCGTCATCGGCAGCGGCGGAGGGCCGTCATCCTCCTCCACCGCTGCTTCCTCCTCCTCAGCGCAGCAGCAAGAGGTGGTGTCCCTCGAGCGAATCCGGGAGTTTGTCGAGGACGCGGGTTTCGAGAGCCTCGAGGCCATGATGGCCGCGTATTACAGCGCCAACCTCGGCGTGGTTGGAGGAGGTGGCAACGGCCAGCGTCCACCGGTGCAGGCGGTCGGCCGCTCCCGGCGCCTCCGCGGGTTCTTGTCGGCGATACACCGCAGCCACGTTGAATGGGGTGCGCAGGAGCGGGCGGCGTACCGCGAGGAGATTGTGCGCGCGGCCGAAGGCATCTACGCCGACGAACTGGCCGGCATGGTGCACGGCGCGGCGGCGACCGGCCCGGACGGCTCGGACGGCAAGTTGCGCATCATGTCCATGGCTGGCGCGGGCAGGCCGACGGCAGAGACGAGCAGGGTGTACATTGCGCATCGCATCCATAGCCTGGTCTCGGACCCGGACATCCAAGATTTTATGAAAAAGGACCGCAAAGACCTGCAAGACACGGTGAGTCAGTCTGTCATGTTGTGCGGTATTGGTGGTACGTGGGCTGACGAGCACGCAAGGTGGCCGATACGTGGTCACTCATCACGCAGCTCATACACAACACGGGACAATCACCCCAGCAAAAGGCCTCCAACGCCTGTATCATACTGTATCTGCTCACGTCACCGGCGGTGTAGTTTTACTGATCAAGGATAAACTCGAATCTGTTGCACAATGTACAACTAGTTGGTGATCGGGCTCTAGTGCAGACGTACACTTTGGCTTGCGGCAACAGAGGCAAAAGGAAACATGGAAATTGCATATATAACTTTGCTCATCATGACTCATGAACACAATACAAGAGGAAAATAGAAGATTGAAGACTGAATGCTGCTACCGACGGCGAGAACATCTTTTCTTGCCCAGGGCCTTACCGGGACTCCGCAGACCCTTCCTCCGACTTCCGCAGCTTCCCGGACTCGCCCTCCGCGTCGCTCTGCTCCTCGTCCGTGTCGTCGCCGATGGCAAAGTAGCGGTGCGTCTGCGCCGTCTGCTGCCGCTCCGCCTCGTTGAACGCTACCCGGCGCGTCTCCCGCGCCGCCACCCGACCCCGGCGCCACACGAACACGGCGAGCCCGAGGAGCTCCAGCACCACGAACGCGGCCGCCAGCCCCGTGACCGCCCGCGGGTAGCCGCGCACGGTCATGCCGAGGAGCAGGTTCCCGCAGGCGGCCACCATGACGCCGCGGCCGGTCCAGATGTGCGCGTGCGAGATCCACGCGCGCCGCCGGATCCGCACAAAGTCGACGTGGTGCTTATACCCGAGGCCGGACTGCACAACCAGCGCGCCGACCACAACGAGCCCGAGGACCTGGTGCGGCGTATCGATCCTCCTCTGCAGGGAGACGCCGACGCCCATGCCGGCGAGGATGAGCGCGGCGGCGGTCAGCTGGACGACCCAGTGGTAGGTGAGGGACCGGGGACCGCCGGAGCGCATGGCCACGACGCCGGCGGGCAGCAGGACCAGGAACGCGGCGGCCATCAGCGCGCCGTGGACGTGCAGCGCGCGGTCCCTGCCCGCCCACTGCTTCACGGCGTCGACGAGGCCGCCGGCGAGCAGGCTCGGCTCCTCGGAGGCCGCCCAGGCGGCGACGCCGGGCCGGATGAAGGGCACGGAGGGTAGTTGCGGGACCGTGCTGGTGGCGCGCACCATGTCCACGTAGAAGCGGCCCCAGCCGCCGTTGCCCGCGCGGTGCGCGTGCATGCGGAGGTGCGCGTCGTACGCGAACACGTCGAACGCCTGGTCCCGGTTCCACGCCCAGACCAGCGGCTGCGAGCGCGCCGCGGCCGAGATCTTGGTCCCGGGCCACCGCGTGCACGAGTAGCAGACCAGCGAGACGATCGCGGCGGCCGTCCCGCGGGCGTCGTCGAGGCGCCAGTCGGAGCGCAGCACGCGCAGGTCGCCGCCGGCGAGGTCCGCGCGGGTGACGAGGGCGGGCTGCGCGTGGCCGGTGGAGGCGCGCACGCTGACGACGGGCGGCGCGCCGGAGGACGGGTCCCCGTAGACGATGACCATGAGCGAGCCGGCCATCTGCGAGCCGAAGCCGACGGCGCCCCAGCCGAGGGCGGAGTTGAGGGGCCGGGAGTGGGTGAAGGTCAGGTAGAGGTTGTGGTCGCCGGTGGAGGAGTTGCGGTGCGCGGTGAGGCTGCTGCAGAAGTCGACCTGGCCGGAAAGGTGGCCGAACTTGCAGAACTGCGCAGGCTCGGCGGCGCAGAGAAGGGAGAGGAGGAGGAGGAGGAGGAGGGGGGGAAGGGCCCGGAGGCTGCTCGTTGGGGGATTTGGTTGCATTCTGATGGACAGACGACGAAGATTAGATAGCAAATTGTTAATTGAGAGCAGAGATTCAGTTCTTGAGTAATTCAGTTGGTAGCCACGATGAGTTGTGTAGGAAAGGGCAATGTTATTCACAGTACGGAGTGCGTTTTGCCAACTCTCCTCTGGATACCCTGCATCTCTCTCATGAAAAGACGTCAACACAAAATACGTCTCGGCACATTACAAGCTTCAGACCAGGCTGAGTGCAGCTTCGCAATGTGGCTTGCATCTTCCCAGTACCAGTACGGCAGTGCCAGCGACGCCTCTGTGGGACGAGGCGAGTGCCGGGCGATTGCTCTGTCACGTAGCCTTGTACAGTTCTGCATGTCAGCGTACATACATACATGTCGCCACTCACTAATCCTGCCATACACTGGTCACGGTGACACTCTACAGCGAGGTGACTGCTCACTGAGCACCGAGACGCCCTTGAGGCTCGCTGTGGCGGGCGACTCGGTGTCACCATGCAGGTCTCATGCAGTGTCCCCGTACGGCTGAAGATGAGAGTCGTTGGCGCGGGGGACTGCGGAGCGGGCGTAGCTGCTTAGCTGCCTGGACCGAATCATAGAGGCACGAGAGAGCTCTCTATGGTCTGATGGAGTTGTCGGTATGTATGCTTTGCTACCACTAGAGTTGTCGAACCATACCAAAGAACCGCATCTTGAACAACGGGGAAAAGCTCCCAGAAAACGACAGAAATAACAGAAAAAATTCGGGAATCATGTTGATACGACTTGCGGGTTTTGCAGCTTTATTGGCCTACGCCCTTGCACTGCCTAATCAACATGGTCGCGTCACCGAAGCGTCCGTGAGCCCCCGGGCGTGGAAGAGGCTGCGGCCGGCCAGCGATGCTGCCACGGTGCATTTACAAATCGGAGTGAGGCATGAAGAAGATGCAATGGATGAATTGAAACGAAGGCTCTTTCAAGGTAATTTCCTATTTATTTCGCTCATCATTATTGAGCTGGCAACGGTGGACCACACGGCTTACACGGTGCGTCTAGTCTCCGATCCGAGAAGCGAAAAGTATGGCCAGCACCTTGATCGGCGACAAGTGTCAAACCTGCTCAAAGCCTCTGATGAGGCGACGGAGATTGTTGAGACTTGGCTTCGCGCAAATAACATCACCAAATTCACGAAATCCACAGCAGGTGACTGGGTCAGAGCCTCGGTGCCGATTCGCCAAGTGGAGGAGTTGCTCCAATGCCGGTACTTTGAGTTTGAAAACATCCGAGACGGCACAATTCTCGTCCGGACCACGGAATGGTCGCTGCCCGAGCACGTCGCCCCCTACATCGACGTCGTCCAGCCCACCAACGCCTTCTTCCGGCCCAAGCCCGCCAGCCGCTACGGCGGCCCGCCGCCTCCCGACTGGGAGCAAGAGGGCCGGCTGCCGACCTACGCGGAGCTCGTCGAGGAGGACCTCCTCGACCGCGGCCACCTCGACGTGCCCAGCCTCGACGAGCTGCCCACCAACCCGACTGTCGACGACGCCTGCAACCGGCTGGCCGTGACCCCCCTCTGCATGCGCGTCCTCTACGGCACGCTCTCCTACCAGCCGCAGTCCGTCGCCACCAACCGCATGGACATTGTCAACTTTCTCGGCAACAACAACAACCGCTCCGACATCCGGCTGTACCTTGAAAAGTACCGCCCCGACGCCGCCGCCGCGGGGGCGGCGGAGTCCTTCGAGACGGTGCTCCTCGCCGGCGCCGAGGACCAGCAGACGCCCAACACGGAGGAGCAGTTTGACCGGCACATGGGCCTGGAGGGCGCGCTCGACGCCGAGGCCATCCTGGGCATCGGCCACCCGACGCCGCTGCGCGCGTGGAGCGTCGGCGGAAGGCCACCTTTCAAGGCGAGCGCGAACAAGCAGAGCAACGGCAACGAGCCGTACATGGAGTGGCTGGGCCACGTGCTGGAGCTGGAGGACGGGGAGCTGCCGAGGGTGGTGGCGGTGTCGTACGCGGACGAGGAGCAGACGGTGCCGGAGGCGTATGCGCGCCGCGTGTGCGCGGCGTTTGCGCAGCTCGGCGCGCGGGGTGTCAGCGTGGTCGTGGCCTCCGGTGATGAGGGGGCCGGTCCGGAGGGCGAGGGAAGGTGCGTGAGCAACGACGGCGAGGGGAGGCGGCGCTTCATGCCGGCGTTTCCGGCCTCCTGTCCGTGGGTGACCGCGGTCGGCGCCACGAGGCACTTTGACCCGGTCATGGCGGCCTTTGACGGGCGCTCCGACTTTGTCACCGGTACGTTGCCAGCGCGGCAGTACACGGGGAATGCCGACTAGTTAACAGTCTTGCAGGCGGCGGGTTCAGCGAGTACTTTTCCCGCCCGGCGTACCAGGACGCTGCGGTCGAGACGTACCTGGAGACCATCGGGGACCTGCACTCCGGCCTGTACAACCCGGGCGGCCGGGCGATCCCGGACGTGTCCGCCCAGGGATACCACTACACCATCATCTACAACGGCACGGCGCACCTGCTGGACGGCACGAGCGGCTCGGCGCCGACGTTCGCGGCGATCGTGGCGCTTCTCAACGACGCGCTGATCGCGGAGGGCAGGCCGCCGCTGGGATTCCTGAACCCGTGGCTGTATTCGGCGCGGTCCGGGCTGCGCGACGTGACGCACGGCGCGGCCACGGGGTGCAATACGACGGGGTTCCCGGCGGTCGAAGGGTGGGATGCGGCGACGGGGTTGGGAACGCCGGTAGGTTGAACATGTTGTTGAAGTGAGACGTAATGATTGCTGACTTTTTCTAGTGGTTCCCGGAGTTGAGGGATTTGGCACTGGCTAGATCATTTCGCTGGGATCATCCTTGGTATATTGCAGCATAGTCACTCTGGCAGTTTTCACGACTGACACACATAAAATGATTTCTTAAAATATTTCAGAGCAGTGCTATTGTCGTTACTACAGCTAGTCTTTGAAATTATTTCAATACTTCCTTCTGCATTATTTCTCTCCACATTCAGCAGCACCGGTTTCAGCACGCTTACATGCTTGCAGCCCAGAGTAGCATACCTACGTCACCGTCCAGAGCACATCTTTACAGAGGAAAATGCTGTATTGCATTAATACTATGAGAGCAAAATAGCTACTTCACCACTAGTGGTGGTGGTCCATATCCTTGTAGGCATATCCTGTAAGAGTCAGCACCAGGGCCATCGCCCAAATCATTCAGTGGCATACCTTTGTTCGGATGAATCAGCCAGCCCGGCTTCATCATGTCGACGCTCCGCTCCTTGGTCCACGCGTCCAGCTTCTCCCAGTTGGCACACTGGTGCGTGGTGGAATTGGCAATGGGCACCATGCGATCGTTGGTCCACTGATACGTGATGATGCCAATGTCCGCGAGGCACATGACGGACTGGCGGAGGAAGTCAAAGCAGTGCTCTGCAATCGAGTTAGAAGCCTGCAAACTGTATAGTCAGGACGGGCATACCCTTGTGCAGGCGATCTGCCTCAGCCTCTGCGGGTGTCTGGTTCTGTCGGTATACCTCCGGGTAGCTGTACTGCCAAAGCCGCTTCTACAATGCAAGCGCTTGTATTAGTGGCGATATTAAGCTTGAGAGATCTCGACTTACGATGCAGTGAAGCTGGTGATAGACGTTGAGTGTTCCAAGGTATCCTCGGCCTTCAGGGTCGGCGACGGCAATGTCTTCGCGACCAAGCTTCCGGATGATTTCAGGCTCAATAATGATGTTTTCATCTGCCTCCGTCAGTTAGTTGGCTAACTGCATTATAAATTTTGGTAAAAGGCCCATCTCCTGGCAAAATGGCTAGACGTACAGTTGATGAGGTCGTGCCAGTTCTTGTCAATCTCCTCTCGCGGATAACCAGAGAAAGGTCCATGCGAGAAGCTGTTTTCAACAAAGGTATGTTCTGCCCATTGCATGGCTCCAGAGGCCGGCGCTATTCCCATGGATTTTCAGAATTAATTTTGTGGCCTTGTGCTGCCTTGCGGTGCGTTCTCGAGGAAGCACTTACACTGGATCAGTTGAAGCCCGTGCTTGCGCAACTTGGACAGCTCTGCCTGCATGTTGATCACCGTTCCGGCATAGAAGGCCAGGATAAACAAGTGAATGGTGAAGAATCCTATCCACCATCGTTTCTGTGAATACTTCCTCGACCGCACATTGCGGATCTCCTCCTCGTCGAGGAACGAGTCGCCGCTCTCCGACGACCCGTCTACTGTCTTGCCGCGGGCCACGGCCGCCTTTTCCATCGACGCCTTGTCGAAGAGAAAGGGGAGTTTCTTCTTGGCGAAAAACATTATTGTTGGGGAATAGCAGTGTTGGAGAAAGATGATCTTGGTTCTGGTCGTGTAAAAAAGGGACAGCAGAGGTGAGAATCTGACTGATTGAGCGTACAAGTGTCAATGAGATTGGCCAAAGGCAGGGAAAGCCCAAACAGAGCAGACTGTAAGCCTTTCAGGCGGACGGTGTGCTTCAGGACTCTGGAATATAGCGATGACAGTGCGTGGTGTAAGACCTTCTCTGCGGCTGACAGTGGGCTGCAGGTGGCTCTTCGTAGTATGACAGGCGCTGGATGGCAGGATGTCATTGTAGTTTGAAGCTGCAGCACAGCCCTGTGTAATTTACAGAAGATCGGTACCCACCGGTTTCCCTTGAATTGGGAATCAATGCATCGCCACTGTACAGTGCTGCTAGTGAGTGAGGCGGCGATATCGACACGCAGGTAGGAGCTTGGCCCAGAAGCAACTACAGTCTTACAGCACCGAAATCGGGGTAAAGATCCTTTTTGTTTAGTTGTTTTGAACAGGAAAAAAAGAAAACAAAAATGTCCAAATATTGGCCACTACTCCTATTGCCGACCAGCAAATTCTTCCAGGGTGATGGCGTTGTTTCCAGACAGTCGGGTCATGTTGTGAAAGAGTCACAGCCGACTCCAGATGACTGGACGCGAATGCGCCCGGCGGACTCGGACTACCAGTTCCAGCTGCACATCGGAGTAAAGCAGGGCAACCTCGCCGGCCTCGAGCAGCGGCTGCTGGAAGTCTCGGATCCCTCCCATCCCAGCTATGGGCGACACCTCTCCGCCGAGCAGGTCAACGCCCTCGTCGCACCGACAGACGAGGCCATCGCCAAGCTCCACGCCTGGCTGGCCTCCCACGGCATCGTCCGGGACCAGCTGCGGCACAGCCCGGCCGGGGACTGGATCCGCGTACCCAACGTCACCGTCGCGCGCGCCGAGGCGCTCCTCCAGACCAGCTACCACGTCTACCGGCGGCGCGACGGCTCCGGTACCGACGTCGTCCGGGCCGAGCACTGGTCGCTGCCGCCAGACCTCCACGGCCTCGTCGACACCATCCATCCCACCAGCACCTTCTTCCTCACCACCAGGCGGAATGCCACGGAGCCGACGAACCCCTTCAAGCGTCCCGGCTCCCTCAACGACTACGCAGAGGACGTCCCCGACGGCCTCGCAATCCTCAACGGCATCGACGTCGCCCACCCGCCGTCGGACCTCACCCCGGAGCGCGCCTGCAACGTCACCGCCGTCACACCGCTGTGCCTGCGCGCGCTCTACGGCACCCTCAACTACACCGCCGCCGCCGCCACTCCGCAGGTCCCCGGAGGAAGGAGGAACAGGATGGCTCTGGTCAACTTTTCCGGCGAGTTCAACAACCGCACCGACGCGCGGCGCTTCCTCGCCACCTACCGGCCGGACGCGGTCGCCGCCGCCGACGACTTTTCCATCGTCGAGATTGCCGGCGGGATCAACCGGCAGGGCCCGTCCACGGCGGCGCAAATCGCGACCGGCGATGGTAGAGAGGGCGGGCTGGACGCGCAGGTGCTGCTGGGCGTCGGCCATCCGACCCCGCTGGTGACCTACACCGTCGGCGGCGAAGGTGGGCAGGTGCCATGGGTCTCGGGCTCGGCAGAGGTCAACGACAACGAGCCGTTTCTGGTGCTGATCGACTGGCTGCTCACGCAGCGCGACGAGGACCTGCCGACGGTGCTGAGCATCTCGTACGCGGACACCGAGCGCACCGTGCCGCCCTCGTACGCCGCGCGCGTGTGCGCCGGCTTCGCACAGCTCGGCGCTCGCGGCGTCAGCGTCATCTTCGGCTCCGGCGACTGGGGCGTCGGCCGCTCCGGCCAGTGCCTCTCCCGCTCCGGCCAGCGGCCGCGCTTTGCTGCGCGCTTCCCGGACGGATGCCCGTGGGTGACCTCGGTGGGTGCGACGCGCGGCGTGCGGCCGCAGGTGGTCGCGCATAATACGCGCAACGGCTTCGTCAGCGGCGGCGGCCTGAGCGAGCTCTTCCCGCGGCCGGCGTACCAGGAGGACGCGGTGCGGCGGTACCTGGCCGGGCTGGGCGGGCGGCACGCGGACATGTACAACGGGGAGGGGAGGGCGTACCCGGACGTGGCGGCGATGGGGTACAGGATGGTGACGGTGTGGAACGGGGGCGCCAAGATGGTGGACGGGACGAGCGCGAGCGCGCCGGTGTGGGCGGCGGTGGTGGCGCTGCTGAACGATGCGAGGATGGCGGCGGGGAGGGCGCCGCTGGGGTTCTTGAATCCGTGGATCTACAAGGTGGCGGGCCCGGGGGGCGGGTTCACGGACGTGGTCAGCGGGAGCACGAGGGGGTGCAACACCTCGGGGTTCCCGGCGACGGAAGGCTGGGACCTGGCCAGCGGGTTCGGCACGCCGGTGGGTGAATCCGGTGAATTATTTATTGCGATGAAGTACTAATCTTGACTGCTAGTGGTTTCCGAAGCTGTTGGAACTAGCGATGGGTGAGGCTGATGATGCTCCCGGTGGTCCGGTCTCAACGGGGCCGGCCCCAACTTCGGTCCAAAGCACTTCAGTCCCCGATGAGCCCGCGCTCAAGGAACCGGCATCCACTACTTCCGTTTTACACGAGCCTACTCCGGGCCAGGCACACCGGCCCTGGTACATCCCGCCATGGCTCTGACATTCCCGCAGACCGGGCAGGTTTTAGCTACGGCTTGTGTGTGCATTAGACCAGCAGATAGTCACCATATTGCAAGCCTTGGCTCGCAGTAACCAAATTCTTCTGCAGTAAGCTGTTATGCTCTCCCAATTATGTGAAGAAAAGTCTTTAGATCTCCGCAATCTGTAGTCATTTCCTAAAACGGACAACTTGTCAGCAGTGGCTCCCTGTGATTGGCGCCGCCGCCCATGACATATGCACGGTCACCATGACTGTCACGGTAGTCAACAACACGCCCCCTCCAGTTCCTACAGACACACCATGACCTTTAGAGGCCGTGGCTGTGTCGAGAACCTCGGACTGACGTGCTGTACTTGTTCATTCCTAGTGTCCGGTGCAGGTGCCCCATCGACCATCCGTCTAAGCCATGTCGGACTGCCCTTTCTTTGCCTACCGGAGGCCCCATCTCCGAATGCTCTTCATCTTGCAGTCGTAAAGAAATCTTCCCAGCAATGGCGGCCACGTTCCAGTACGCAAAACAATTTAGCTGGTCCAAGATCAAGCGCACCAAGCAGGCAGAGTTCCGGCCGCTGCCTGCCGACGACGAGCGAGATTCCAGCGAGGGCTTGCTGGAAAAGGGTGGCAGCTCACCAGAATCGCGGAGAGAATCTACTGCCAGGTCCTTGTGGCGAGATCCGACGTTTCTCGTCTTCCAGGCTGCTCTGCTGAGTCTGTACCTACTGGTCCTGGGGCTGGTGGCCGCGGGCGGGCGAACGACCTGCTCCGGACGCGGGATTGCTTATTGTGAGTGACCCCTAACTAGTACTCGCACGGATCTAGGAGGGTTCTCACGTTGAATGTCATGAAAAGCCCCAGCGGCAAGCGTTATAGAATGGAGCGAGACAAAGTTTACTCTCGAAGACCATATCCAAGACCTAAGCATCTACTCGGGCGCGCCCTCGGAAGAACTCGACAAGGCGTGGCATGATTTGCTGAATAGTATGCTCTATGCAGAGTGCCTCAAAAGATTCACACTAATGTTTCCTGCAGCCCAGAACGTGCGAGTAGAGGCCGAGTACTTTAAGCATCACGGCCGCGAAAAGATTGGCGTCGGCGTCCCGGGTAGCACCGACTACATTGGGACGCTCAACGTCTTCCACGAGCTGCACTGCATCAAGCGGCTGCACCAGTTCATGTACCCGGACTACTACTTTTCCGACTTCACCCAGCACCAGATGGACATGAACAGGCTACACAATGGTGAGTTTACCGCCCGCTTCAGGTAGCCTTTGGTAAGGCCCAGTAAGCTAACCGATGGCTGTCGGGCAAAAGAACACTGTCTCGACTTCCTGCGACAGTCGGCCATGTGCCACGGGGACATTGGGCTGATCACGTACATTTGGCGGCAGGACAGTCGCCTGCCGGTGGTTAACTCGACGTCGCATCAGTGCGTCAACTGGGACAAGCTGTACGCTTGGAGCGAGGATAGGGCCGTGGACATGCTGAAGCCAGGGTGGCTGGTGCATCCGACAAAGGGTGAGTCGTCTCTGAACGAAACAGGCTGGTGGTAGTTCTACTAACATTCCTCCAGGTATCGTGTATCCAGATGGCGAGGGGGACCGAATCGGTGCCATTGACAAGGAGCTGAATCATTGATTTTGCAAAGTTTACCAGTTGTATATTGTGCAGTGTTTAGACTGTGCGTAAATTGCATAAATCCAGATCATCATCTATCAAAGTGCGAAAATGGTGTAATGCAAAAAAAGATTAATGGAAGAAACAGCAACGATACGGGAATGGCAGTCTCCCTCGATGCACCGGCAAGCCTTGTTACGCAGTGGACAGTATCAAGTAGCAGTGACTGCAACACCCGTCATACAATTACATACAGCCTTGAGTTGAGAGAAGGTACCATGACCACGGTACTTTCTTACTGCAGCTGAAATTTCGTGCAGCTGGGCAAGGCAAGGCCACACAAGCAACGCTGAGCTCCCTCCCCGCGGGCCGAGCTGCCACTACCTTCATTCTGCAACTCGGCTCACCCTGTAGCCTTGTCGTGTGTCTCTTTTTTGCTCCCCTCACTGGACTCGTGGTTTGCGACTTGCTTGAATTTTAAGTTACTTGATATAGAAGGCAAAAAAAAAAAAAAAAAAAAATAGAGAACCGGCCAGCAGCACGGACAGCGATGAGACTCACGTCGAGGCACTCGCCGTGGTCGCCGCCGCCGCCGCTGACCATGACGATGTTGTCCACGACACCTTGGATACTTTTGTGCCTTTTACCGACATGCCCAACTGCACCGGCCAAATCATCACCGTCCGCGCCTCCGTCGTCGGCATCCTGTGCGGCGTCCTCGTCAACGCGTCCAACATCTACATTGGCCTCCGCGCCGGCTGGACCACCTCGGCCAACGTCCTTGGGGTGCGTACTCTCTCACACCCTCCTCTCC